AGGAGAGCCCCTCCCTGGAATCTCCCAGGGTAGATCCACTAGTTGCAGTAGGATAGATTTAGTCTGGCAAGGTTCTGTCTATAAGGTGTAAGCAAATAAAGGGACTGAACTCAACTGGACTGTTTCGCCATCGTTCTTGGGCTGGGCCTGACAGCTTCACAGCCAGCTTCTGACAAGCAGAGTCAATGGAGAAGCCAACAGTAATATCATGAGTCGTGGTCACGTGACGTCTCGCTTAACAACTGCGGGGGAACTGAGGTTGTAAGTCTGTTGCAGTCACGTGATATTTTGCTTAACGACTGCTGGTCCCAATTGTAAAAAGAGGACTACTTTACGCAACCTTTAAAAAATTACATGTGTAATATGAGCTAAACACCACCTTGTTTCCCTCTGTCTTTGCAGACAAAATTAGAAATCAGTAGGCAGAATACACCCAAAAGGAAAATATCCAACTAACACACAAAGAAGAGAAAGACAGATAAGAAGCCGCATAACACAGTTCTTGCTCTCACTATCTCCTGTAACTTCCCCAGGCCGTCCCAGCCTTATGCCATTATTGGTTTACTTTTGCCTTTTTCTTCTAGATCTGCTAATTGTATTTTCTAAAATTGGCTGTGGGACTAATGTGGGTCTTGGGTATTCGTGGAATGAAAGGCGCTTTGCTTAGCACATTAGTTTTTTAAAAATTAAAACCATTTTTTAAAAACCTGATGGGGTAGGATCTGATTTGGGGATCCAGACCTAGAAGATAATGGAAACAAAACCTTTTGAATGCTGACCGTCTATGGTGAAAGAAGGGGCTTATAAAACCACAGGTTTTAGGTGGCCACCCTGAAGTTTTATTTCTGTCACTAACTATATATGCAGTAATGACCTAGGGAATAAAATGGCAGAATAAATGATCCCAGGCAAGAAAACCCAGCGCCCCCCACAAGCTTTTAGTTTTTTTTTTTATTTTACTGCTTACTTAACACTTGACTGTTCAGTGAGAGATTGTTAGTGAATGTCTACCTTGTTTATGCCTTCACTAGATTATTTGTTTAATGTACAATAAATAGAAAATGCATTTCTGTGATGTCATGACTCATATGCAGATTCCAAAAGGATTATGTTGTGTTTCCAAAAAGGGGCCTCACTTTGTAATTCTCTGGCTTTCCTTTGTATTTTTCCCTTCATGCTTTTGAGGGGGTCTACTGTTAAAAAGAAGCTACAGTAGTATGCAAAAACTTAGGGACTGGATCCAATCTGAAGTTCAAGAAATTCGTAAGTAAAGAGAAGCCGATCCTTCACAGTACAAACTCAGATGCAACATCTTTCTGCAAATTTGAATACATGCTCACTTTTTATGAGTGGTTGTTTACAGATTAGAGTAAGAAAACAGAGAGTGCGACAGCTGCAAAAGCTTGGGTGATCTCTTTCAGTAAGTATCTTGGCAGAAATAATAAGTTCCAGACATTCCCTGTATCCAGCTAAGATTCCTTGTATCCTCACTTCTGGAATCGTTTTTTCCTACTCTTCTTTGCAGACATTTGGAAGAATGTCCAAGCTTTGGCACCTGACATACTCATTTTTTAAAATACCCGTCCTTCTGTTTCAGGGGAAGCAATGTTGTGCAAAGTGCAGAAAACAAGAAATAGCAAGGCAAAGAAATTAAAGGAAGTGTTTTAATAAGATATGATAAGAAAAAGAAAGCAAGCGTAGCTAAAACATAGTTCATTGTATCTCTCCATCGTTTTTCTATTCTTACAAAGCATCCTTGCTTCTGTCATATCCATAATCAGTCTATGCACACGCTTTACTCTCTCAACTTTTCATGTCCCTCTTTTTGAGAATCTCATCAGTTCCATCCAACTGTGACTTTCTTGGTCTTCCTCTCATTCTCTTAGCTCTTTAACTGTATAATTGTTTTGCTGTTTGGTCCTTATTCGTTTTCTCTGTATGACCAGACCACCTCAGTGTACTTCTTTCATGCTGGTCACTCACTTTTATGTTCAACCCATATTCGTTCAGTACCACTTCATTGCTGATACCTTATCTCTTTTTGCTCACCATATACACTTCTTAAGTCTCCATTTCTGCTGCAGCCAATTTACTCTGATGTTTCTCCTGACATATCCAGTTCTCACTTCCATATCACAAAGTGGGCAGAAGCTCATCTTTCGTATAACCATTTTTGCTTTTTTCAGCAACCATTCATCACCCACCATCTTTCTGCCAACACCTGCATGTCTTAAAATTTCTCCATCCATTTTCTCATCTCTAGTTACACACATAAACACACACACACGTTAACCAGCAAAACTTTGGCAAACAAAAAGGAAAAACAAATCAATAATCATACAATATACGAAAAGCCCCAGGTTGAGGCCTCCTCATTAAAAATCTCGAAGAACACCCACACCATATATCCACACCAGAGTTTCAGAAACAAACAGCCTGGCCCCAGGGGCTGGGGAAATAACCAGGACTTCACAGGCTTTAAGTTGGACCGTTTCTAAAGATTGGTAAGACTGGGACCATCCATATCTCTGGGGAAGGCTGACATGATAGAGAAGGTATCGAGGTACACAAATTTATTTACTTTTTTTTTTTTTTGCTGTTTTTTTGCTGTTTTTTGCTGTTTATGCATCATTTGCCATTGCAGCGAACCATAATTAATTTGGTCTTTAATTTTCAGAGATGTATTACTCATGTACCAATGTATCCTAGATCCTAAAACTTTTTGTTTTCTTCAGTGAAGTGTTTTTCTATGGTAATTCAGATACATTGACATTAAAGAGATAATGGTGGAAAGTAACTCTCCCCTCCCACTTGAGTCTTACTGTACACCATATCGCTTTAGATTTCTATTTATCAGTTCAAGGTAAAGGTGCCCTCAAATTGAGCTCAATGCCCAGTAACTAAATGGAGTTATAATGATGCTGGTTCATCATTACTTACTTATAGAAGTAAGATACAGAAGTAGTTTGCATTAAGTTCTTCCAGGATATTTTGGGCTTCCCAGTCTAGTCTGCAACTGTGGTATTCTCTGGTAGTCTCCCATCCAAGTTAGTTAGGGTCATCTTTGTGTACAGGGCAAGAGGCAAAGACAGCTGTCTGAGAAAAGAAAACAGAGTGCCACACTTCAGAGCTGTTTGCTGAGAATGAAGTTGTAGGAAATTTGTTCTGATTACGGGGTAATTAAGTAAAGTGCTTAATACCAAGGAGAGTAGAAATGGTTGAGAGACAGACTGTTATGCTACTGACTGTTTCTACTGTAGACTTGATCAAGAACCATTTTGACCTTTTCTGTGCATCATTATTGTATAACACTTGGAAATTACTGGTAACTCAATTTTAGGGTGTCGGTAATTTACGAAGGGACTTATGGATTGAGTTTAGGACTTGAATTTAGCACTCGTAGAGAAGTGTTCATGAGGCAGTATTGTGAAAATTAGGAAAAGCCTAAAAGAACATGGATGTGAATTGGGTGAATAACCTGAGAGAGAGGAACAGTTGGTCATGGTGTGGTTATTCTTCCAATATCTTATTTTTTAAAAGCTTCCCAGCTGTCATCTGCTCCTTTTGACCTGAGGACTTCTGTCCATGAGATCCAGTCTAGAACTTCTCTAAGCCTGCTGAAATTTGCTTTCCTGAAATCTTCCTCCAAAAGTGCCCACAGTTCTAGCTCTTCAACCACCCAAAGAAAGCCAAACACCTTGTTCTTTTGCAACCTTCTGTAAAATTAAACACTTAGTAAGATCACTGAAAAATTTGGGGACCTGCAATCTTGACCACAATCTTGAAAGCTGATTTTCCCACAAATGTCCAGGTAGTTGAAGTCTCACCTTATTACTACGTCCCTCCACTCTATGGTTCCAGGAGGACATTATCCACATCTTCTGACTGGCTTTCGATAATGCACCCTCACAATTACCTATTTTTTGTTTCTTCCCCTTCCAAATATTACTACATATTATAATTGGAAATTACTGCCAGGTCAGGTTTATAGTGTCAGTGATTTACAGAGGTGAACGTGCATAGAAAGTAGTGAGGATCTCTACTGCAGCTACCAGAAGAAAAGTGTTCACAAGACAAATACTGTGAAAATTAAGAAAAGCTTTAAAAATGGTTTTGAGCCTGAGACGGCAAGAGTGGCTTATGAGCCTCTGAGTTTTTTGTTTTTGTTTTTTTACTTTTTAACATGTATTATAATTCTGCTTTTCAGATTTGCAAATCCATGGAAATTAGCCTAGATATTTATTAATATCAGTCCCAATTTGATATAATACAAATAAGCATTGATTGTACTAGAAGAATTATTGAGGACATTTATTTATTATATATATTTATTTATAGACCTGGCTTTATATGGCTGTCCCTCTTTCCACAGTGACTCTGGGGGGGTGAACAACAGTTTAAACAAAAGCCACAGTATAAAATCATTAAAAGATACAATTCACCACGTATAATTCAACAAAGAAATGGCAGCAAAGAATAACGTGATAATGTATAGAGATTCATTTAAAATCGGATTCTGACCATGGTATTGTATTCCCCATTAACTCTAGCAATGAGATTTACAGCTTTTTGGCTTTTTTTGTTTGTTTGTTTGTTTGAAGATGTTTTTAGATGTGTGCCCAGATGTCAGGTTTCAGCTGGTAGGCAGGACTAGAACTAACTAGGTAAATTCACAAGAATCCAAGAGCTTCTGCTAAGTAGTTTTTTTTTTAATTGTAGCAAAGTTAGAAAGCCATAAGGGAGGAACTCTAATGACTAGTGTTTCAAGAGCAAGCCTATATGTAGAAACAATATCCCTCTCCTTTTGCATCTCTTCCTCTTGTCTGACCTATGTAACAGGCTTTACAGCTCCCCTTTCAGGCAGAAACCCAGTTTCAATTTGCTCTGGCAATGGCTAGATGTGATACTAGGTTGTTTTCCTCTGGCTTTGTGAGAATTCACTCTCACACCACAAATCTTAAATGGGCAACAGCTTTTCTTATTTTTCCTTTCCTTTCCAGTTGCCTTTGGCCTCTACTTTCCCCGGAAGACATATCATGAAAATGTTTACCTTGAACAACCGGAAGGAACACCTTTATTGCAACTCCATGCCTTAAAAGATTCAGAGGAGGAAGAAGCTTTCTTCTGTCTTTTCCCAGATTTCTTTCGACCTGGGCATAAAAATCTCTGGTTTCAGATTGGTGAGAGAACAGGACTCCTTTACCTCAATAAGAGTCTGGATACTGAAGACTTCGTTATACTCTGTAAGTCTCTGGAATTCCTTGCCAGTGGGTGGGAAGAAGGAAGGGGTTAGGCCAGCTGTTCCATTACTAGGCAAAATCAGGTTTATATGAACAGATTTCTGATGTTCAGGTTCAGGGCCTAAAGTTTGGGGCATGCTGAATGTTTTTGCTGTTTGTGTGTTGTGTTTCTAACTGTGTTTAATCATATTGTTCTAATTCGTTATTAGCTGCCTTGAGTACCGCTCATTGGCGAAAAGGTGATGCCGACTCTGATTTCTGTCTAGAGGGACTTATCCAGTTACCAGTGTCTCATGAGTGGGGCTGATTCCCCCCAAGGGGAAGGGGGAGAATGCCCCCTTTAACCTTCTATTGCAAAAACAAGGATTCAAGTTGGTCTGCCCAATATTTCCTGAAAATTCCTACAGTGTTGAGGCATCAGATGCTAACAATAAAAAATTTGGTTCCATTGTAAATCTGCAATTTACAAAGATGCCATAACCACAAAGGACATTTTGGCAACTGAATAAGTCTCGTCTGCATGAGAACTTTAGTTTGAAATACAGTAGAAAGCCTACACCAGATTAATGTGGGAAGAAGCAGCCCTCATTGGTGCTTAAAAGTAGCAGTTCATTACATGAAAGATGGTTCACTGCCATTTTGATCAATGTCCTACTCTGGTATGTTGGCTGAAAGAACTTACTCAAAGGGTATAGCTCAGTGAGTTGCTTACATGATACCTGCAATAAAAAATATGTGTAACTGCTGCTTCCCACTGGGCTCCAGAAATTAATTGCATGCTTCCTTGCTCTGCATTTTTGCATTCCCTGCTGATTTTCCACCTTAGATCAGCTTGATGCAGATAAATATACATATACATATAAATATATATGGGAAAAGGTAGGGTTTTTTTTTTTAATGAACTGTTGGTGAGGTGGGCTTATAGCTTAAATCTGCATCAGGATTTGCAGGTAAAATTCACATTCTGAAGGAGAATTATAGCTTTATATATTTACTCCCAAAACTAGAGTTCCATTTTCAAAGGGGCCTAGTGCGATTAAATTACTGAGCCAATATCTTTCAGGAACTGTTTTTAATTTGGGGGAAAAAAAGTGTTTGCATTAAGGTGAGGCCGAGCAATCTTTCTGGAGTATTACACACAGCTGAAAACATAGCAAAATATTGCTTCCGTACTCTAAGGTTATTGTTCTTTCCCGTATAACACAAAGACAAGCCCATTGCACTGAGACGAGGGTAGGATAAATCATGTGCATTGCCAAGGGTGTGTGTGTGTGTGTGTGTGCGCACACGCGTGTTGGGGAGGGAGTTAAGAAAGTCAGGATGGTGGCCACAACAATGGGATCAAAGCCTCACCCCTTTTATGTGTGTATTGCTTTGATCGTGGTCGTGGCTGCCGTGCTGACTTTTTTTTTTTTTACCCTTCTGCAGACACCCTGTATATTGCAAATAAGAAAAGATAAGGTGAACCTATCTGGACAAAATGCAATACAAAGTGTCAATGCACTTAGACCAAATTGCGTTATTTTCCTTGGGCAGATTCTGAATGAAAGAAATCTCGGGGGAATTGAGGGATAGGGAATTGTTTCCGGCTGCTGATACACATTGCTAGCTGACATTGAGCACACGGTGCAGGAACCTTTCTTAGCTGAAGGATTCCTATCCCACTGTCATTCTAAGCCACAGGGCATCTCAGGATGATGGATTCTGGAATCGCCTTCAGTGAGGGTTTGGACCAAAGGTCTGCAGCTTGCAGGGAAGGCAAGGAAACCACAAATGATAGATGTGATCTCAAAAGGTTTAATCATTCTTGCAGACTTTTCAGATCATGTGACACGTGTATTTTTTATTCAGAATCCTTTGAAAAATTAACTTCACAAGTTTGTCCAGGTTGGCTTTAGAAGTCACTTAAATTGATGAAGTGATAATTAATATTGATCCTATTTATTATTCATTGTAATTGCCGGAGAATTACTAAAAGAAGCCCTCTATTTATGTTCCCTTGTAAATCCTCTCTCCCTCTTCTTTTGTAACAGCCTCAGGAAGTCCAGTAACAAAACTCGTGCTCCGCGTTTTCCTCTCTTCCAAACCCTTCCAAGGAAGAGACTGTCCTGGTTCATCTACTACCACTTCGGTACAACTTTCAGTCATCAATGCCACCATGCCAGCTTGCAGTTCTGCCTCATCAAGACAGCTTTGCTTTCCTGATATGGAACTCTCTTTTCACATCACGGAGAATAAACCACCAGGCATCTTTTATCAGCTCCAGTCATTTGCTCTGCAACACCAGTGCTTTAATGCCAGCATTTCCTACAAGCTCATAACAGGTAAACCATAGTTTACCCAATTGCCTTTATGTTGTTGTTTTTTTAAGTGTTTCGTGTCCAAGCATGCTCCTCTCTCTGTTGCCAGGCTTCAGAACAGAGTCTTGAAGATGAGAAAACGGTCTGTTTGGGGTAAGAAAAGAGTATGGGAACTAATATAAAAGGCATTTTCAGGACTCAGATGAGGGATACTTGATCATAACACTGGCAAACCAGAGGAGAGTATCTTTTCTACAATACACGTCATTGTAGGTCTGTAAAAATCTAACAGTTGAGTTAAAGTTATGCTGAACTCTTAGCAACACATTTTAGACGTATGATTATTTTATTAGGAATATTACTTTATTAGGAGTATAATAAAAGCATTATATCAGTGATCACGGCTAGTTCCAGCAGGAATAAGGTTAGAAGAATAAATAGAACTACAGATGGCTGCTTTAGTGAAAGAGAAGACCATTTTTATTTTTATTTTATTTTTTGACCTGAGGATTGCAGCGAAAAACCTCAGAAACATATATATCTTATTTTTACTGAGGGACTAGAAATCAGAGGTTTTAACAAGCTGAGCTGCTCTGTACAGATTGTAATGTGAAATTCCTTTGTGAGCTGCCCTAAGTGTCTTGGAAAGTCAGGTGAGAAGCATATAAATCAATAAAAGAGAAAAATACAAGTTCTTTCCTCTGTCTTCTTTGCAATAAGTCCTGAGTATTTCAGATACCAGTGGCTTTCCAGCACAATGAGAAAACTTGCTCCCTGCTCTCAGCTGTCCTTCAGCACCACCACTAGAGATGAATCAAGACTCCTCTTTGCTTTGAAATCCACCTGGGTTTTGTAAGCATTTCTTACGGCTAGTTGAAAAATAATATGAGGACTTTTGTGAATGCTTGCAAAACCCTGATAGCAGATCCTGTGAGGTTTCTCCTTGACTGCACAGAAGAGAATTTAACAGCTACCGATTGGATTTTTTGCAAGATCCAGCAGCAAACAGTACTAAGTTTTTAATCAGACCAGATGTTGTGGACCATGGATTTACCTCCTGCGTTCTCCAGTTGCAGGTAGTGGAAATGATGTTTCAGAGCTAGATGTCAGAGAGGACTTTGCCTGACCCAAATTTGGGTTACCTTGTTCAAGAACCAAAGGAAATTGGGTGTTGAAAATTCCTTCTCAGGTACTTGGTCTTCCCTTAACCAACAGTGTGAACGACCTGGTTATATCAGGTGACTCAGAGAACTTATAGGATTCATGAAGGAGGCTGTAAGGCACCCATTCCTTAAGAGGGCTGACTGGATCTAGGTCCTCAGCAATTATACATGGTGCGTATTTAAAGTGCCTCCTTTAGTACAAGATACAGATAATCCCTCAAAATTATTCATTAAAAATGTTGCTCATTAAACCATAAGAAAAAAAGATGTGCAATGAACAGTGAAACATTAGAAACAACAGCTATTAATTAAATCAATAGCAACTCAGCACCGAGTATTGAAATATTACCAGAAGTGCAACTTCATCTTCTACTAATAGAAAGGTAAACTACTCCATAAGTGGAGTACACAATATATCTAAAAGCAAGAGAAATAGGAATCAGAACAGAAATTATTTCACACACTGTAAGCTGAACAGAGAAGACTTGTCTATTTACAGTATTTCTGAGGACCAACAAGCTTGAGTTGAGGGTTCTGAGACCAATGATTGTCGCAGATAGAGGGTGGTGGTCTTCGCTTTGATTCAGGTTTAATATCCATAGCATAAGTCCATTAATATTTCATAATTGTATTTATTTCCTGTATTGACTATACAGCCAGAATCTTTGTGGTATCTAACTGTTAAAGCCTCCTGGTGCTTTTCCAATATCATAGTGTTGGGAAAAAGGATAAAGTGTAAATAATGTTGAATCATATACTAAAGATTTGGAATTTAGAATTCCAAATTGCATGAAAATTGTATTTATGAAGCATGGGGTGTAGCAAAGCAATTTGTCTTGCTACAGTGGAAGGACAGCTTCCTGGACTTGTAATCATAGATCAATTGCTCTCTGCTTATGAACTGGTTCTCTATCAACATAATGGAAAGATAGATCAATATCTTTTTCAGTGTAGTCAAGATTGAATGCTGAAGTTAAAAACGGAACCTTTTTTCTTTGAAACTATGATAATATATTTTTTTTCCGTTCTGTATCCTTTTCTTGATTTTTTTTTCCAATTTTGATATCTTAAAGCAAAGTCTTGTTTCTGTGGTTGTTGTTATCAGCCTAAATCAGCCCACTGGGGGATGAAGGCCTTTTCTTTTATGGCTATGGGGCCAGATGAACCCCTCTGGCCCAGTGTGGATTAGAAGATAGACTTCCAGTCTAGGGCTGAGAGAGAGTGACTGGCCCAGAGTCATTCAGCCACAGCTAGGTCTCCCGGCTCCATGTATAAATGCTTGCTTGGATCCTGTAACTGTTCAGTTGGCCAGTTTGGGAAGGCTGTTGCCTCAGCACTGACTCACCTTTCTTTGGAAGCTGGAAGCTCTACCTAAAGTCATCTATTAGGAGGGGTGTCAAAGAAGTCAAGAAGCACCTACACCCTTTTTTAGTGTGTCATATGTGCAAAACATGTTGATTAAGATGGGGCTGTGAAGACCAGGCCTAGATTCAAACAAGTGTTCACAAGTACAGCATAACATGCTGTTGGCCACACACTTTATGGGCAGCCCCAGAGCTCCCGCTTGGCTTCTCCTTTCTCCTGTTATCTTTCTCCTAAAGCTGATGTGATACCTAGGTAGCCAGTGTGGAGATCACCAGTCCTGTGAGATGAGGTTAAGAGACCATGGATTCTCCATGTTGGGACCTGCTGAAGAGTCCTTCTACCGTTAGTAAGACTTCAGGTTCCTAGTGTGGATGTCGTGAGAATCCTGATACTAATTTTGTTTCTGCCAACTGCAGCAGAATTAACATTCATGGACTAGAGTTTTTTACACTTTCCCTTTCTTTCTTCAGCCTTCTTCTCCATGCCAGTCTGTTGCTGAGTTTTGGTAAATTGGTTCAGAAAAATAGGACCAAGGGCAGATCATAGGGGAAATTGATAGGAATCATTTTTTAATCAGTGCATGTGTGTTCACTGACAATGCAAAGGTGAAATGTAGAGAAGTCAGATAGCTGCACACACCTGATTCTAAAATGAATTGTAGAAAGCAGAGTTAACCTTGGCTGATCTCAGTAAAACTCATTAGGCTTAGAACTGGTTAGTATTTGGATGGGAGACCAGAACTGTCAGCTAGACTGGAACATTGAAAAAATCCTGGAGAAAAACAACTTCTGCGCTGCTGTCCATGAAAGTCCTCAGGCTCAACCTTTGCCATAGATGAAGCTCCCAGGAGAAAAAGTTTGTAGGACAAAACAGAACAGGAACACAGTCTTTTCATACTAAAGCACAACCTCTTTATCTAATCCTATTTCCCAGTCCCTGAACTAAAGAACCCAGATATGCAAACTGTCTGAATTTGAATGATTACCCTGAGCTGCAAGGTGTGCATTATGGACTTTCAGGAACAAATGATGTTATGAATAGCTCCAGTTTCATTAGAGATTTAATGAGAAATAGGTTTTCTTTGTACTGTTTTCCAGATGAGAATCTGCCATTTTATTATAATGAGGAGACCACGACCATAGGAGTGTCAAAACCTCTAGATCGAGAAGAACGAGAAAAGTATGAGATGTTGGCTCAGTGTACACTGAAGGAAGGCTCTCAGAAGACATTAAGAGAGGTGCCCTTACTCATACATATATTGGATGAGGACGACATGCCTCCTTTTCTGCCTAATGGTACCAGCACAACAGATGCAATAGTGGAGTTCAAAAGGGAAGAGGTAATGTGGCACAAGGTGTATTTTGCCTCTGTACCTCATTTTGAGATAGCTGGGTTGACCCAGGAGGTGTTGTTGGCTTTGCATCTCTACCCATAAAGTTTGCTTTGACAGGTTCGTATTTAGCTGTGATTTTGTAAGTCCACACATGAACTTATGAAGCCTGACATATATAGTTACCATGGTACCACCCATCCAGGAAGAATTCAGTCTGTTGATGGATGCATCCCAGGTTAAGAGTTTCCCATTTATGGGAACATCTTCAGGCACAAACTATGAATCCAGTATGTCATTCTGACATGTGTTGTTCATTGTTCATTTTGTTGTAACGTTTTGGTTGCTGAAATAGACGAGTTTGGAAGCAAAGTAGAGTCTCCTGCCCCTCAACTGTTTGGACTTCCTTTCTCCTAGGCACTTAGAGGATTGTTGAGGTTTGCAGAGAAGTGTACATGTTCACCTTAAAAGGAAGGTAGCTGTGTGTGTATGTGGGTGGATGGATGGATAACAGATTGATAGGCACATACCTATGTACCCACATATATACACACATAAACTTCTATCCCTCACAGGCCCCTGGGGACTTTGAAGTCTCATAGAGTATTGATGTTCTGGAGACAATAAATGTTTTAGCTAGTTGGTCTCCTTTTCTGAAGAAGGAACTTCCAAGTTGGTGTGGGTTATGTATTCATTTATTTAGACCGTGTCTGCACCATACCCTAAAGCTGGAAAGTCCTGTCTTTACGGTTCCTTTGTGCTCTGAGAGTGAGCTTATGACTGTAGCTTCATCAAAATGAGGGATGCCTTCATACTGTTGCTTGAAAAGCTTTCCGTCCTGGGAGAGAAGGAAGAAACTCTGTATGAGAGTCAGTGGAGGATTGATCCATCGATTGTTGGAAATGTCACTTAAAGGGGAAAAGAGAGAGAAATGGAAGGAAAGGCAGGAATTAACTTTTATGTCAACCTGCCATCCTTGAATTAAAAACAAAATCCACACACCCTTTTAGCTTGGCCAGTGCATTCTATCTTTTTTCTGGTTTGCTATTTATGCAAAGCTGAGCAAGGGGAAAACAGCTGAGTCGGTCTGAGTAAAAGGAATAGCTCCATCCTTTGCTAATCTATTTACCTTTAATTAATTAGCTGCCTTTACTAAAGAAGAGACTTATCCTTATTGCAGGGGTGTCCAGAGGGAGGTCAAAAAGGTCCAGATGCCAGCCACAGCCAAGCAATCAAAACCCCACCCTTTGGAGGCCACCGTCTTGATTTTATTGACCCCCCTCCCTGGTGACACCTCTGCCTTGTAGGCAGAGGAGGTGACCCGATCACGAGAATAAATCAGTATTCTCCCTTCATCAGCATAGAAATATTTTCTTCTCCAGTTGCCCAGTTTCTAACAATTTTTGGTCAAATCTTGGTCATCTAGCTTTCATTTGCATCTTCTGTGATTCTGTTCCCCCCATCCCAGAGGAGACAAACTCCTGCTAGCGTTTGTTCAGTCATGAATCCGCTGTAGCAAACCCCCCAGATTTAAATCTTTCAGATTTACTCTTTCATCCTGAAATGCCCCATTCCTTGCCAGAGTCAGAGTCTGTTTTGAGTGAGAGCACCACCTAGTTTTACTACAGTTTTAAGCACTTGGTATTTAGTTCAGCATGAGATACAAAGTGGAGAAGGAACCCCTGGGGGGGCACATGGGCCCTGTTTGCATCTCTTAAAAGCAAATGTACCTTTCGTGCCCTCTGCAGCTGTAGTAGGATTGTGGCAAAATATTCTATATGTTTGGTTTAAGGAAATGCAAACAGGTCCTACAGTATGTGTGCATATGCACACCCTCCAAAGCAGCTTTTCAAGCACTGCACAGCCTTTATATGAAGTTATTTTTCTTCATCCAACAAGTTATTTTCCTGGCCATGAGAATTTGGCAAGAAAAACGTCTCATTTTTGGATGTTTGCTGCCACCAACGGCCCAGAATGATCACTGCTAACTTTCTTTAATTCCAGCTGTTTCTGACTCTGCTGGGTTGAAAATTATGGATGTAATATTGATCTGAGAAGCTTGTTTAGTTCAGACTAATCCTGGTAGGATAGATTATGTTGGTGTTTCATGCAAGTTCTTGAAACAAGTACACATTTTGCCAACTTGAGTCCTTGTTTTGGTCTAAAATGCATCCTTTCAATCCTTATCAACAAAGCTGAGTCAAGAGAAGGCTCATGTTATAACTTTATTTCCATTCAGCGTTTCCACCAATAGTAAAGGCACCCAAATGCAGTACTTTGAAACGAGACGTTATCAGCGTGCTTAGGTGAACCTCCATTTATTCAGGAGAATGAATCATTTGGAAACCAAATTGAAAGGGATATAAATATACACACAAACATGGGAAAAGAGACTGACTTGGCCTATTTGAACTTTGCAGAGTCTCTGCTAACCTGGAAAGAGTTACTGGTGGCTGATTGGAGCCTTGGAGAATTCCCACAGTGGGAATCGGGGCGATTTTTGTTAAAGGGCCTGTTTTTGTGTATTAAAGAGTAACGTTCAGCAATTCATGGTTGCTGCTCTTTCAGTAGCCTTGGAGTAATTGATTCCCAGCTTGCTTGTTATAGGAGAACATAATAGAGTATGCTTTTTGGTTTACTTGAAGGGCATTCAGGATGAGGATTAATGCAGGTAGGCAGCGTAGAGAGTAAGGAAGATGACCTTGATGGAGATAGGCAAGATCTGTTATCAAAGCAACAAGGGTTGAAACATATCTTGAGTCCACAAGAGACAGAAAATATGCAGGAGATGCTCAGGCAAGACACTTCCTTAATTCACGGGGGTACAAGAAAGGGGAGGAGGTCCAGCACAATCAGACTTGCAAGATTCTGTTCTTATAGCCACTCTTGAGAAAAGGAGTATTAGCCTTCCTGTGGAGTCGATTTCCTGGTCTGCTGTACCTGGTGGGGCTGATAGGTAGGTAGGTAGGAAGAAAGGTATGAATTCAATTTATATCGTTATCCAATTTGCAGTGTAAATTTGGGCAGCTGGCATCATTAAAGCAACAGATAAAAAACCCCATCAAAACAACTTAAAACACATCGTGCCTGAGACCGTTCACATATTCGCACAATTAGCTCACCAAAAAACCTGGCCTTGGCCCAACATCTGAGAGAAACAACAGGTCTGCTGGGGTTTGGACCATCTGGATCTCAGTGGAAATGCTGTTCCAAAGAGCAGACACGGCAACAGAGAAGGCATACTTCCTGGGTCCCATTAGATGACATTGTTCGATAGAAGGGAACTGGAGCTTGCTCATCAGATCTTATGAGATGGGCAGAAATGGTAGATGGCTGAATAGATAGACAATAGTTAGGTTAGATGGATGGATGGCAAGGATGGATAGATAGATACATGATAGGTAGGGAAAGTAGTTAGGGGGTTCAGTGTATCTTAGACATGTAGGACAGGTAGGTAGGTAGATAAGTGACATGGATCGATAGATAAGGTAGGTAAGTACACGGGTGGACAGACAGACGGATATCACTCTATCCCAGCTAAGAAGAGATGAAGACAATTCATAGTATATCCATCATTTTCAGATTAGAGCTTTGTGGATGGGATCTGAACAACCAAGAAACCCTGATTCTCTATAGGCCAGACATGTCTGCTGCTGCTGGACCACAGACTAGTCCTCCTTTGCATAGGCCAAGATTGTCTATCTGTCATATTTTGGAATACTGTTAAAGGGGTGTTGGCTTTTCAATGATTTAGTTCATTATATATTTTTACTAGTTGGAGGATTTTGGATTTTTTGCATTAGGCCACAGAACGTCTCAGATAAATTGTCTTCTTTTAAGTCTGGCAATACTGTGGGAGGAGAGGTCCCTAAAATGGGACAAAAGTGGACTGCCTGTCACAGATCTTACCTCAAAACATCACAGAAGGCAAGCATCATCAAAGCTGAGGCTAGGTGCAGCTGAGAAGGGGGGCCTTCTTGGTGTCTCACGTTCCCTGCATGCCAAAACAGCTTCACCAGTTGCTACCGATGTGCAAAATGGAATGTTCTGGGAACAGAAGGTTCCAGAACATTCCAGATATTCCATCCTTTTTTTTTTTTTTTGCTACCGCTTCTATCTTTTGTGTTTATAGCTGTTACATTCTGTTGTGGTTTGTTGTTTTGATGCTCTCCCTCTGTATCTTATAAGCCTCGCAGAGAATGAGCAGCGTATGCATGTTGTAAATTATTGAATAATGAATGCTTCATTCATCTGGTTCACGGGTGAAATGTGCTTTCGCTGATGGCTGCTGTCTAGACAGCTTGAAAAAACTAATGTAGTAAGCCAGTGGGTCATTCAGTGCAAGTTATAGGTGGCCCTGGCTAGCGTGAATTTATCAGTGCTACCCTTTTGCTGAGGCTCGTGGGTCAGATTTTTCACCCTAGGGTCACACCTGGAACCCTCTCTTTCAATAATGCACCTTGCTCAAAGTGTGCGTTGTCACTGTGTGTACCTTTAATCTGCCTCTCTTCTTTTAAAGGGAACTGTCCTAGCAGCATTAACAGTCCTGGATGCAGACACAACTCCTATTTACCCTGTAGATACCAGCCGGAAGAAATACACAGGCACCATAAATTCATCGGATCCGTGGATAAAGGAAACATTTCGAGTGGAGCACCTCTTCCATGAGATCTATTTCCACCCAAACGGCAGCCAAGTGCGGGGCACACAACATGAATACAGTAAGGTTATGCACATCTTTGTTATTACGATCACACCTCCAGTTAAATGGACTGTGGCTTAGCAGAGTTCAGATACAGTGTATTAGAAAAGTTCTGCCTTTAGCTCGCATATTCTTGAATCGGTAGCTCGAGATAATACATCATAATTGTCATACGTTGCATGATATGATCATATGTCAATGGTCTCATGGTCAGATTTATAGAGACGATGATGTTGATAATGGATCATTGTTGGAACAGTGACAGGGATGAAGTGATAGTTAATGCGTTATTTATTTGATCTAGCTGGAACATCTGGTTCAAATAATGGGAGCGGGGAAGAATAATGATGAGAGTGCATCTGACAATGGATAGGAATAATCTTGCTATGACCATCAGCAAGCTGGAGCTTGAACGATATGCTCAATAGGAGGTTGCTGGGTGCCACAGTTTGAATTTTTATCCATGTTCAAACCACATGGATGAATTTTTTCAGCTAGATTGGAACCATGGGACTCAGTCATAATCTTGTACAGCCATGCCAGTGTAAATACAGATTCTCAACCAAATCTCAGACTGCCATCTAGTGACTGAAGACCTTAGGCGTAATTGTAGAAGGGAAGATGATGCAGACTGAAGGATGCCATGGAAAAGGAGCTAGGATTCCCTTGAAAGTCCTTCCTGTCTAGAAACAATAGGGTGCCATGGTGCTTATACACCTCTTCTTCCAAATCAACATCATCAATTTGGTTGTGGATCCAAGTCCCTGAACCTTGAGTGCATGTGTAGATCATTTACCCTCTCCTAAAATGGAATGAATAACTTAAGCGTATCATGTTAGAACTCAAGATGTTTTAGAAAGTTTTTAAATTCTTGGAGACAAATACACACACGTGTGTGTGTGTGTGTGCCTCTCTCTCTCTCTCTCTTTTGCAGTCTTAGATGAAACCCTTATTGGCCTTCCATAAATTATATCTGATAGAAAGGGCAATTATTAAATACAGTAGATAGGAAATAACATTAATTTTGGCATAGCAAATGAAAGCGTCCAGCTCAGTTTGCATTTGGTTGATCTCAGAAAGGTAAGCAATGTTGAACTTGGGATGGGAGATGACCAGGAAAATTGCAAGAATATAGGCGAGTGACAAACCGTGTTTGTAGTACTGCCAAAGAAGATAGTATGGGTACCTCTTTGTAGTCACTTGGAGTGAAGTTCAATTCCAGTGAAACTTACTTTATCTTAATAATAGCCACATTTAATTAATCTTATATTTCAGTGAAACTAAAGTTGGTCCTTTCCTAACCACTTCTCTCCCCCCCCCATATATCACTCAAATGCAAATTCACCATATTCCAAATTAAACATACAATAATGGATTTAATTTATGTACAATCCTCTGATTCTAGCCACCCACTATTTATTAACTTGAGGAGAAGCTGAGCACCCAAATTTTTCCTCCTGTTTTATGAGGTCATAAATCGAAGAAATCATCTGACTTTTTGGGCCCAATTATGCCCTTTTAGGTAGCTCCTGAGATTTGCTCTGTAGATCTGGGGAATGAAGAAATCTTTTCTGCATAAACATTTCCTTCTCTTCTTTCTTTCAGGCCAGTATAATGAGAAAGGGTTTGGGGTTTCTTAGGCTGGGAGTATAAACGCTTCTTTTCTCACAGATATGTTTCCATCAAAAGAGTCTGGGGTGGTATTATGGAACAGAACTCCACGTTTCAGTGGCCACACTTCCCAATATACTACTGATTTTCTTAGTGTCCAATGCCTATCCTTTCTTCATCCACTGGGTGTCTCTCCTGGTTGTGTATTTCGCATAAACATTTCATTCTCTTCTTTCTTTCAGGCCAGTATAATGAGAAAGGGTTTGGGGTTTCTCACAGATATGTTTCCATCAAAAGAGTCTGGGGTGGTATTATGGAACAGAACTCCACGTTTCAGTGGCCACACTTCCCAATATACTACTGATTTTCTTAGTGTCCAATGCCTATCCTTTCTTCATCCACTGGGTGTCTCTCCTGGTTGTGTATTTCCTCATCCAAGTGCTAATTTATTGTGAAGTGAAACAAGTTTTCTATTTCTTTGCAGAACTGATATTAAACAAAAACATTTCCATTACGGAAAGCCGTTCCTTCCTGCTGGATGTCATTGTGAATGACACGGAATATCAGGGGCCCGACAAATCCTTGATACTCCACTTCAACGTCTCTATCCTTCCAATCCTCATCCAGTTTTCAAATCCGATGTATCAGTTCACAGTGAATAGAAATGCTGCCAACTTTTCACAAGTGAGGATGGCTTTTTTCTTCTGTTTTCAAAACGAGCTTCTTAGGATTGAATCATCAGGCAGGAAAATGTATATACAAATGAAAAGATGGTTAGGATGTAGACAGTTTGGGCTCATGTCAGCAAAGAACTCCTTGTCATGGAGATGATGCAGTTCTCTTGATCAAGGCAAAGAGGTAGCATGGTTGCACCATCTTCTTAACCACTCTTGTTTATGCAAAATCAAAACAGACTTCTTGGCAGGAGCTGCAACAATATGATATAATCATGAAGGTGTTGGACCAGAAGCAGGAGGACCCACCGTAATCCACCCTCAGACACGGAAGCTCGGTGGGTGACATATGGCCAATCATTGTCTCTCAGCTTAGCCTTCCTACATGGAAAAAGTCAGAGGCAGGGCTGCTATGTACACCGCTTTAAGCTCTTAGAGGAAAAATGGGATATAAATCTAATAAACAACAAATGAATAAATACATTTTCCATATTGTTGCCAACTAAGTTATAGCATGATACACATTGATCAGATGTGCGATAGTACAGTAACGTATAATTAGTAAACCAAGTTTAAAATGGTTGCAAGGACAAAGTAATTGTTGTTTAGTGAAGCTATGGAAGACGTGTTTAATGGATGAAATTATCTCCGCGGTTTAGGGGATATTACTTTATAATTAATTTGGACTGGAGATTCTGTGTGCAGTGCTTGGACTCTGCTATTGTGCACGAGTTTGAGTGAACACATGTTATGACACATTACTAGTCTTTTTCGCTGTATAGGTGTGCATGTATCTTACAGTATTTGTGTCTCAATTGCTAAGTTAGTTATCTTTACTAGATTACCTTAATCTAGTTTATTGTTAGGCTGTGCGTGGACCTGTTTTCAGTGTCAGAAAAATATGGCTTTTCCTCCTATCGATTGAAAATTGCCCATATTTCATCTGTGATAGAGATAGAGGGTGTCTAATAATTTTGTGCAATTTGAATGGAAAATGCGGATGTTCCAAGCAGCAGAGCAGAAGATGAGTCTTCTAGTGAAAGCAGTGGGGGGGGGGGGGAAGAAAAAAGAATGAGGATAATTCTAAAAATTAAATCGTATTAGAAGTGATAGATTCAGTGGTAAATTGCTGTACTGTTTTAGAACTGGATTTCATAAAGGATTATAGGAACTAATTCATCCTTCATCATTTGAAATTAATCTTTAGCTCCTCTTTTGAGGCTTAATCTGTAGATTCTCCACATTTGTTAATGGATAAATTAAATTTACATGTAAGCAACTCTAAACAATCACACAACTCCAGTCATTCACAGGCATGGTTGCACATAGATTATCTTACTGCATTTCCTTAAAAAAAAATCACACTCCAAGAAGACAATAAAATTAAAGCATACAGATTTTTCTTACTTCTGGAGAGGGGAAAAATATGTGGTTTTGCTACTAACGTAATCAGGAGGAATGACTGTAAATGTTATTGGCTTAAACGCATCTGGTTTAGTTCCAGGCATAACATTTCTCCTCAGTTTATTGAAACAAGAATAGCAACACATTAAAAGATCATTATCTTCCTACCTGTTTTATTGAAGGTCTAAAGAAAAGATGACTCATCCCAGAAGCCACATATTATAGGCCTTTAATTCATGTGTAAGGTATCATTTTGAAAGCCTATTGCCAAAATTCTGAATTACCAAAAAACTCCTTAAAACAATGGAAAACAGAGATTCCCCATTGTGGTAAAGAGTATCACGAATGGGACTGAGAAGCGGTTTAGGTGGGACTAGTTGTAAGTCTTTAATTCAGTCTTTCTAAATTAGTGAAAATTATAAATAGACTATCTCCATATTAATGTCCTTTCTTGGAAAAAGAGAACTTTTTGTCTCTATCTGGTTAAGCATGTCTGGTAGGACTTCAGAAAATTTGACTCAGCAAGTAAAGGAACACAGGGGTGAAAAATGAGCAGGCCGGGAAGCTGAGAAAGCAATAATGTAGCAAGAAGCAAATTATGCCTTCGAATTGGTTTTCAGCAGACTAGATACTAATTATACAGGAGAAAATTATCATCAAATACATATGACATCCCCTGTTCCTAGAGACTTCTAATGATGAGGACACCCAAAGTGACTATCTCCTCCAATTTCAGCTATGTGTAATAAAGAACAACCAGTTTTCAGACTTTTGAAGGGTTGTGTTGAATTTCCAAGAAGGAAAGAGTTCCAGTTGCAAAGTTCAGCATATCTTGGAGCCAGGAAGAGAGGATGCTTCCATTTGAGAAACAGAGACAGAAACAAAGAAGTTTTTGAACCCATTAGATTCAGGAAATGGCAGTCTATGCCTAGACTTCTCACACATGAAGACAACATTGGAAGAATTGTATAAAGGGATGGACCTTTTCTTAAAATATTTGGTGCACTCAGGTCAAGGCTTCTTAATGGCAGAATATAATATGCTTTTTCCATTTACTATGTTTTTATTATTTTTAGTTACAACTGCTAGATTTATAAACTATTTTATTGTGCTTAGGGATGAGGCTAGGACACTAGGATGTAATATGCATTTTCTTATTTAATACTGTATAATGTTCTGACATTTTAGATGGCTTGTCACCACTTCCCTTATTATTCCAGGGAATTGATAACTAAATTTCTATTATTATGAACTTGAGTCTTTCCATATCCTTGCTGGAATGACTTAAGACAAAGGGGAAAAAAGGAACCCGGTTTTCACTTAGATTTATATCCTGCTTTTCCCCCAAGAGCTGAAGGGGTTTTCTCTGGAAATTTCTTTTTATCTTCTCCTGATGTAGCAATGCTTTGAGGTAGGTTGGGCTGAGAAGGATTGGTTCAAAATCACCCAGTGAGTTTCCACAGCTAACAGTCAACTTGATCTTGGGTTTCCCCACTCCTAATCCAGCATGTTAAACCAATACACCACACTGGGTCTCTTCTTTCTTTTGCCCAGAATCTGTAGCAAAATTTGGTCTAATTTGGAGAGATTATCCAGTATAAGATGTGTGAAGGTTCAAGTGTCCTCCTGCACAAAGAAATTCTGCCAAGGTGAGGAGGGATTAACCTTTGGTTGAGGCCATTTCTCCATTTTAGCAGTGCAGTGAATGGGTAGGGCAGCAGGAATTAGCTGAAATGTCAACAATAGCATTTGACTCCTTAATGACTTCAGAGGGGTGAGCCCTTGCTCACATGTGCTCCAACAAAATTATCATCCATGACTGTAAGAAAGTTGCTGTGACTTTTTACAGACTTTTCTATATGAATAACCAGTATTGCAGTTAAAAACTAGAGGTGGATATAAAAGAACTGGTATATCTTTTTGAACATTGTCAAATGTCAAAAAGGAAGTTGTTTTACTGTCTGGCCATGGAACAAAACATTGTGCTGCATTTTACAGATCAATAGTTCCCCCTTCCTGTAATGGCCCTGAATATATTGTTTGATTGTCTAGTCATGTAGCAGCTTCTGCAGAGAGATCGCTCTTTCTGCTTCTTCGCTGCTTTTCAGCAAATCTTGCTGACATTTTGATGGCTTCTCTTTTTCCCCCCTTCTCTTTTTGAGCCTAGATAGGAAAGATCTGCATTGACAACTGCATGAAGTTTTATGGTGTCAGCATCACGTACAGCTTAGAGAGCCCAAATGTCAGCTGCTATGCTATGGAGGTTGCTCCAAGCCACGATGACAAGTACGGGACTCTGTACGTGAATGATTCAGCTGTGCTACGGAGACCTGAGTGCAGAGAAATACATTACCCTGTGCTGGCCAAAGAGGAGTGGAGCAGGAAGGAAGCTTATGCTCATCTTACTGTCGTGCTTGAAGGATCACGTAAGATATTTGGTGTTGCTAGAAAGTTGAAGTTTGGATTTGTTAGATATAGTTGAACTTGAAGGTGGAGCTAGTTGATATGCAGCAGCCCCCACAAGTAAAAGACAAAGGACTGTTTACCCCTCTTCCAATTCTCACTATGTACTGCCACAGAGATTTTCATGCTGAAATTTTCCCCTGATCTAAACCAGCTGTTCCCTTCCACTTCTGAGACAAATTGGGTATTGAAGTTCCTAAGGGCAAGGCTCTCATAAAACTTTTTTTTATTGTTCAGGGAGTTAAGAAGTCAATTTTGTTTAGGCTTCTTTGCAAGAAGAAATACATAAGAAAGGGAAGTGTTGAGACAGTTAAGCTCATGGAGGGGTATACAGTCCTGGACTGTAGAGTCTTAATTTAGAAAAGAAGTACCAGTTCATTGACAGTTGCATTAGTCTCTCATAGCAGAGGTTCCTGGATGAAAGCCGGAGCAAGTGGCTGTGCCAGCACACCTTGGCTGGTCTTTAAAAAGCCAAGTAGGGTTGGACTTTGTTGATACTTGAATGGGAGGCCTCCAGGAGTCCTGGCATAGAAGGCTACATGATCAAATATATATATATCTTGAGAGAAGGCACAAGCAAGCCATTTCCATACTGAGGGCAGAAACTTTAATGGATGCATCCATATAGTCAGCAGGAATCACCCAGCAGCCTTGGCTGATCTCAGAAGAAGCTAAGCAGAGTAATTCCTGATTAACCCTTGGGTGGGAGACCACCAGGGAGTCCCAGGGCTGAAGGCTAGACTGGGGAGTCAGGGGAACATTCCGGAAGAAGGAAGGGAGTCACCAAGGAAGTTGTTCCATTATTATGCCTCGTGAAGTCAATCACCAGTTGAACTCAACTCATGGAAGATGGATTTCTGCAACATGACGGTGACACCGACGCCACTTACGTTAACCGTCACTTGTGTCCTTCTGTTCTCAGTTATACATAATGATGAGGACTGTCCAGACTCCTGTGCTATGAGCAAAACCCGATCAGAATGTGAAGAATGTGGCGGTGTTGGAGTGCTAATGGGAAAATGCCAGTGGAGACAGGGAAGTAGGAAAGGTACGTTTGCGTATCTGGCAACTCAGTGGGAATCTGCATTAGGACCGATCCATATTTGCAGCAAACGCAGCATTGTAGAGTATGTGCCTTTTGTTAGTGAAAATGGATTTTCTGATGTTCAGGGAAGGAGAAAGTAGGTTCACTCGTGTTTCTCTTTATCCCTGAACTTTTAAAAGTTTTTCTTACAACGTCTCTTTTTCTTTTTCATGAAGGGCCTTGACTACCTTTGGTTTTCAAATTAGATCCCTAATATGGTTAGTGTGGTGGTGGGGATAATATTGAAATAAGTAAGGGTACCATAAAAAGAGGGGTTATGTGATTGCAAATAGACGTTGTTCCCTATTACTGTCAAACATTGCTCCAAATTTCTTCTAGGAAAAAAACTTTGCACGTGATATTATATACAACTTTAAAAGTGGACTGACCCTGATCAACAAAGCTATATAATCAGTATAAGTAGGTAACTTTTCAGGGCAGTCTCTTTGTAGAAGCGGCCCATTTATTTGAATGCGAGTGCCTTCAATAAATTGCTAGGAAGTTTTATTTCTCTTGTATTCATAATGTCACTGCTTTGGTGATCTTCCATAATACATGTAATGCCTTTCCTTCTCAAGGAGTAAGAAGAGCAAACCAAAAGCAATTTAATCGCATCCCATAATCTCTAATTATAGCAGGATAACAATTAAGCTTTCCAATGGGAAGAATTATCTGGGAAACCTTCAGATTTTTTCCCCCTTCTGTCTATTTCTCTTAGAAAGGTTGAAGTGGAGCTGTTTGGCTTTTATTTTATATGCAATCTTAAAAGGTTGATATTGGAGTGTTGCTGACATAATAGACCAGGCAACTTTCATGAGCACTTTCAGAGCCTAACCTTCCTTTAGGGGTGTTGGCGTTGGCGTGGGCGTGCAGAAGGATATGAAAATGTTTGCAGGGTGTGTATGTGTACGTGTGCCTGATTCACACTCCTGCATCTGTGTCCAGGACATTCCTTCCCTTCTCATTGCCTTAAACTGCATTGAAAACATCCTGACAAGACAGGGGACTTCATGCCTGTTGTGTTACGATGGTCTCATTGAAATGTCATAAGACAGGGAGAACCAGTGTGGGGAGTGGTGGGAGGTCTGGAGTCGGAATGGGTGGATCTGGGTTCTAGTCTACCCTCAGTCACGGAACTTCAGGCCAGTTATTCAAACAGGTCTTGGACTGCCCTTCTAAGCACATACCAGATGAAAATACTAAATACTAAATCATCCTGGTTTCCTTGGCAATAGGAACGCATTACCAGCTTCCCCAGAGCGAGGATGGTATGGTTCACTTTATTCTCAGTGGTTACCACTCTCCCTGATTGGCTGAGCTCCTGGATTGGAAGAGAAGAACATTGCATGAAAGGAGCAGCAAAGAACAGTTGTTAACTTTATGAAAAATAATCAGTATGGGTACTTAGGATTTAAAAGGGCACTCCTTGCACAGAAAACACCATTTTGCCCTGATATGTTAGCAGGTCAGAATCCAGAACAGCCTCATCATGTATCAAAAAATACACAAATGAGCCTCAAATTTAGGGAAAGTGGAGTTTATGGCCTATTTGTGCTGGAGGATTCCCTGCAACATTATTTTAGCAGTAATAAAGATCTCTGAGGAAGTCTTTAAGAAATTAGTTTTGATATAATTTTATGAGCTTTTAATAGAATTACAATTACTATTAATTTTTTAAAAGCTTAGTTTTTATTTTGTAAGGTTGTACATGAATTAAATAGCAAGATGACTATATTATTGTTGCACAACAGGCTGTGTACTTGAAGAAACCTAAGGTATTATAGAAGAAGACTATGCAGTGAGAGAGAGTGAAAAAAGAAACTATACTAAACTACCTCGAGAATAGGTTTGAATTACTTATGCACTGCAGAGAGCTTTCATCGGCCATATTCTTCTTTTAGGAATAACCACCAACTACTCTACCTGTAGTCCCAGCATCAAGACTTGTCCGGATGGCATTTGCGATGTGGTAGAAAGCAAAGATAAGAGAGTCTGCCCTCAAGATTGCACAAGTACGGAATTCAGACTCTTTCGCTTTGATACATGTTTTTTGTTTTTTCTGTTCCCAAGTCAACATTCGTGCTTCATCAGGTGAGGGTGTCTGGGAGACTTTGTCTGGCTCAGAGAGGTAAGCCGGATCAGGCCTGAGGAGTTCTTGGATGGGAAGCTACCAGGAAATCCCAGGGCTGTAGGCTGGACTGGGAAATGATCGATCGATCGATCCAGGAAGGAAATGAGATGGCACAGACATTTCCATGAAATCACCAGAAGTGAAACTTGACTTGAAGGAGAATTTCCCTTTTTTTAAGTCATGATGTTCTCTATTTCATCTGAACGTCCAAAAGCAGAACTAGGAGTGTAATTCTGAAGACGTCTTTTAAAAAGAGAAGTACCTCTTGTGAAAATGGGTTAACACTTCCATGAATCCAGGATAAAAAAATGGACAAGGTGCCCTCTTTAAATGATCCACTGGAGAGGAATCCCATTGCAAAATCAGGACGTGGTTGGGGGTGAACTTGCCTGTAGTACTGGAGCAATGTTATTACACCTTTTAAAGAGTAAATGTCTTACTCCCCTCCAGAGTTACTTCATAGGCAAGGGGAGCTCTCCAGCCACCCCACTTGCTTGTCAAAATTGCTATCATCCAGCGTCCTGTGCTCTGGACCATCGCTCTTCTGCTGAAGCCTTGCTAAAGGCTGCATCTCAAGCTTTTCCCAGCCTCTCAGGAGGGGGTTTTCAGGGGATAGTAAAATAGAGATATCAGCATCATGTGGCAGCAGAAAGCCTATGCAGAACATTGATTCCTCTGCCTCCATGGGATGGTCCAATTTTCTCTTAGAAACACCAGAGGAAACTGTACAAAGGAGGTGCACAGAGTATTAAGTGAGATTGGGACCCATGGGGGGTGGGGTGGGGTTGAAGGGACTGAAAAGTGTTTGGCCCTCCATCTCCTATCAAGCAAGCAAGGAAGTCCAAGGAGAGTCATCAGTGTTTGGTCTCAGCCACTCTGGAGTTATGAATGCTGGTGGGCCTCCTCCAGTCCAAAGGCTTTTTATATTCCTCCTTGAAGGGAATGTCTAGTTGTTGAAGAAACAAAAATCTAGGAGTGATGCCTTTTTTGTTTTATTGTTTTTCCTCTTGATGCTCGTATAGAAAAGTGAGGTTTTCATTACAGCACACATCTGCTTACACAGAGGAAACCAAACTAAACAGCCCCTCCTGCTGGAGTCTTTGTCCCTCCTGGTTTTTCATGCTTCCCAGTGACCTTTGGCCATTCCTGTTTATGGAAACACACCTTCTAGCCAATCCTAGAATACCATTTCTCCCTCCACACACACCCTTGTTCTTCCTCATTTCAAGATGGGACCCAAGAAGGGGTCCTTCTGTCTATGAGGGCAAGAGAACCCATGCCTCATTCCAAGTACTGTCTCAAAGAGCCAGTTTGGATCATGAGTAACTCCTAGTTTGCACCAGATCCTAGCTACCAGTAGCTGTAACTAAATCTAGATCAGTAGTTGTCAGCCATTAGGAAGGGAGGGAGGGAGGGAGGGAGGGGAATCTAGAGGAAAAATATACCTGTATAACTTTGCCTATTGTGTTAAGGGAGATAATGCAGATCTTTGTTAGGAATCAGTGAACAAAGGCTAAAGTGTTAACATCTGAGTTTCATTAATGCTGTGCTTATGATTTTATTATCATAATAGCATTTGAGCTTTTTAATAATATAATTGGATTAAATGGGATATTGTAAAATATTGCATGCTGTTGGAGATTATGCATTCTCTACTATTGCAACAATATATATAGCTAAATTTATAGTTAAATATATTGTATACGTGCAGGCTGAATTCATATAGTATGCTAAGTTTGCCCTTTCATGGCATAGTATGGCTCTTTGATTTGCTTACTCTGTTGTATACACACGTCCAATGAATTCAATCAGCAACGAAGTTAAATGTATTGTGTAAATGAAGCCTTAACGTTCTGACTAAAAATCATCCTGGTCAGTCTAACAGACAGTCATATTACAGTAGCCAAAGAGGAATCATGCAATTTTATAGGGCAATGGGATTAATTTTGGGCCTATAAATCCTCACCTGGCTTCTCCAAACTGAGTGAGTCATGTTTTATGAAACAAGCAGTTTCCATTCTATCATTGTTTCACTGCCTGCCTGTTGACTGCCATCATCAACAACTTGGCTGATGGACGACTTACCGCTTCCCTCTCCTGCCAGTCAAGGTCAGATTGTCAGTCTTGACACACAGAGTGGCCACATAAAGAGAAATCCAAACCAACACTGTGACCTGAAAAGACAGCTTGTTCCATACTTACAGCGTTGCTCAGAGAAGCATGTGGCTAAGTCCAATTGATTTGATATATATGTGGGTTGGATTATAGCTTTGGAGCATATTTTCAATAAAGCTAGCAGTGGGTAAGCTGTTTTTGCATATGTTGCAAATTTGCAGGCCAGTGTAAAGTCTACATCATGAGTCATCTTTCCATCCTTCCCCAATATTCCATTTTAGGCTAATTTGTTACAGCACTTTTAATACTTCTGGTGAGTGCCCAAAATAGATTTCCATAACATTGAGGACTGCAGATCTGTCCTGCAAAAATCTGGGCAACCATTAGGTGACAGCTAGGAGATATCAAAAAATTTAGTGATCATCTAGATTTTTGCAGCCCAAAGACCTAATGTAATATAAAGCCCCCAAATAGTTGTTGGTTTTCTCACCCAAATTTGTTTCACGTATTTTAATAAGCCAAACTTTCAAATATTTATTAGAAGAACACCATTTGATACTGAGCCCTGTGCATCAGGTGAACTTACTTCAATCTGTATTTAATTTAGAAACCAACATTGTTGGTGGCCATCAAAAAGGAAGTCTTGGAAGTGGAATCAAGGCAGGACATGGCGTCTGTCACTGCTTTCCAGGAATCAGCTGTTATTGTGAGAAAGATGATATCAGGGGTAAGTTGGAAGTTGTGTGTCTCTCATTGTATCCCTGGAAGCTCTAGCATTTTTGTGGCAACATTTTTTTCTTAAGCAGATGTTTCCCGGTTCAGATGTATTGCTCAAAATGTGAAAAGGATGGTAGGTCAAGACCATAAATGAAATGAATGTGTGGGGTAATTGGGAGCCAAAAAGCTTTTCTTTTTTTTTTTTTCCTGGCATGGATCTAGTCAATATGAGAGGAGATTTTAATGTAAAAGGCACTTTCAAACAGATAATTGCTTCTGTGCATTCCAAAGTAAAAAAAATAAACTTAATGTATTTATTTCAGAAAGTGCTGTTTCATTGTTGTCCAATCCTGGGACAACGTTTTACAGGTCAAGGGAATTCCAGGATATCTTACACTACAATTTTATAGTATTCTAAGGTGGCTATAATGTAATTGTTTGCTTGCAGTAAATTATGAATTGCATTAACCTCTGCATGGTAATTGGTCTTCCAACCCACCATCCCTAGTCATGCTGTAAAGGAAAGCATGCTTCTAGAGATGGGGAAGAAACCCTACTATGACTTTCCAATCAATATGAAGGACAGGTGTATGTGAGATGGTGGTTCTGACTGCTTTGATAAGACCAGTTTCAGAGGAATGGGAAATGATTTACGTATTAGGTAGATTAGCTCTTGCTTTGCAACACACCATGTATTCTTACTGTCCATCCCTGAGAATAATATTGCAATAACCGTGGTGTTATTAGAATATGATTCTAAACTAAAATGAAAATGGAGGACCAGAAAGAGTTCTTACTAATCAAATAATATTTCCTCACATCACAGCTATTGTCCCTGTCTTAACCCTCAGTTAACCAAAACTGAGAATGAACAGAATTAACAGAGATGGGATTGTGGAAGAGAATTAAGAATAGGAAGATGGTATCTCAGACTCTGTTTGGCAATGCTGACAGTACAGACTGTTGATTTGCAACAGCAAGCCATGACCATTGTCCATGGTTGAAGGACATTTTCTGAAATAGAAATTTCTTCAGCAAGATTGCCTCCCTGTTCGTTTTCCTAATATTTTGGTAGAAATGGTGTAGACAGGGAGATCAGGAGAGAGGAGAATCTGCGGTACATGGTCTCATATCAGTCTTCTTTCTCTACAGAACCTTTGTGTGATGACATGTGCAAAACAGTGATTGCAGGAGGAGTCCTGCTATCCTTTATTATTTCAGTTGTCCTCTCTTCCTACTTCATTCATCGCTACCACAAGAATTCCCCAAAGCCACCTATTGCCTCAGCAGAAATGACCTTTCGGCGCCCAGCTCAGGCCTACCCCATAAACTACTCATCAAGTAACGTCCGTCGACCATCAATGGACTCTGAGAACCAAATGTCGGTAGACACATTTAAAATACCTGTAAGTTCTTCTCATTATCAGCTGCTTAATGAGGAAGATACCTTACCCATGTTTTAGCTGAGGCTATACTTCATCGCAAGACAGCATGTATGTCCCTGAGGGAGATAGAAGGAGGGGGTAGAAGGATATATAATATAAAAGAGGTTGTAATAACATTTTTGGAAGCATTCATTAACAAACTCTTTACCACACTTATTATAACAGTAGTTCCAGCACACTATACTACTTGGTACTAAGGAAAACACACTAACAAAGTTTCTGAAGTTCACTACTTGAGAATAAAAATAAAGTACTTTTCCAGATATTTTTGCTCCTAAAACAGGAGTAGTTCATAATTTTATTCTCAAGATTGTGTTTGCAGTGTGTGTGTGTGTGTGTGTGTATACACACACACAAACACAAATATTTAGAACTGAGATGTTGATACAGTATATACTTAATCTAACACTGCAGTCTTAGCAATACTTTTTCTTAAAAACCATGGTTTTCAAAGGAAAAATGAAGAAAGTTGTTGTTTTGTTTAGCAAAAATAATCCCTATTTTCAAATAACAAACAGGCAAGTTTTATTTCTGTACTGAAGCCTATGTTGTCTTAAAAACTAAGTGCAAAATGCAGTAGAAAAACTTTGGTGTTGTATGTCTTCATCTGTATTCCCTTGGGAAAGATTATCTATCTATCTATCTATCTATCTATCTATCTATCTATCTATCTATCTATCTATCTATCTATCTTTTATTCAGGCCCCTCCAGAAGGCCCCTTGCATTTTCAAGTCTAGAATGAATATTTCTCTCACTCAATATTTTTCAGCTGACAAACCTGGCTAGCCAATGCCAACTCACAAATGTTCTGACAACCTTCCAAATGGAATTGAATTTGGTAGCTGAATAAGATCATCTGTGCCTCCAGGGCTCAAATTTGGCAACATGTGTATTAAGAATGTCTTTACGTGGTCATGTTGAGTTCAACTCAAAAAAGTCCTCACCTTTACCTTGATGATCAAAACGTTAGCTGTGTGGAGCTACCATCAACCCAAGATGCAAAACACTGGAGGGAATCCAGTTAGACAAGCTGCTCAGTGGTCTAGTAGCTGGGTATTGCTGTAGCTGAAGTCTCACTGCCAGTTTCATCACCAGTAGATTAAATCATATACAGTAATTATCCTGGCGATTACCAGGGCATTAATCATTACAGGAAGCTATTTCTGATCAAGAAAAGCTGCAGAACTAGCTTGGACTGTCTGGGCTTCCAGTGATCATATTGGATGGTGAACTTCATCCAAAAGAGTTTGTTGCATCTGGAAGGGTTTTCCAGCAATAATCCATCTACCTACGTCTTAGTTGTAGTTTATCATCCTTTCTAAGCAATCTAGTGGGCTTTCTGAGCAAGCAACTCTTTCAACTTTATTTGTCGTCATGCCCCATGCCAAAATTTTATACAACAAGGCATCTGCCCAGAGGGGGCAGAAAAAACATAATTGCTGGGAAGTTGCATTTGAGAAAGCATTTATTGGCAAAATTGTTTTTTTAAAAAGCGGTATCTATTCAATATTTGTCTTTCTAAAAAACATACATATCAGGCTATTTGCATTCTTTAAAAAAGCATAACTTAGAGAAAGTTGCATATAAAACTTCAGTATATAATGGAAATTTGCATGTAACAGCTAACAGGTTTTATTTATTATCTTTCCCCCCCCTATTTTTGGCTGATAAATAAATAAATAAAATTATTTTCCCTCTCTGGGAGCTTAAAAGCAATAAAAAGATGAGTGGAATGGTTTAAGAAGTCAATAACTGTGACACTTGACATGAGCTAGATTTAATAAATTGATAATTCTAGCTGATTAAATAGAATGTTTATGGATTGCAACTAGATATAAGGTATACGGACAAGTAAAATACTCACTAAAGTAATGTGTGTTATTATTTGCAAATCACTAGTTTCTACGTGCATTTTGAGATCCAACCATATTAAGCCTATATGAACAGAAAACTTGCACATTTCTGTTCATTACAATAGTTTGTCTGTTAGTTATGTGCCTTTCGGTAAGGAACACAACACATGATTGCTTGTTCTACAGGAAGGAGCAATTAGATTACAGTTAACTAGTTTTTCTGAAGCCTGCAATCAATTATTTTAATGTTTCCTAGCAACCTCGGCCAGCAATTTCCCCTTGCAGCTGTTAACAACTGTACCAGTACAATATATCAAACTCAGTTCCTCGCTGGAGAAAATGTCATCGTTTAAATGAAAGCAAGGTTTGGTTTGGTTTTTAAGAAGCAAATTGGAATCTGGTTGTCATAGTCACCCATTTGTATCTTGAATGACAGAGCGAGAGAGAGGGTACGCTATTTGTTTTACACTACTTAGCTCTATAAATTAGTCCCCAGATGGCCAAGACACAATTCCCCAGCTCCAACTTTGGGTGTTTGGTTTGCACACTTGTTACTTGATAATCTTCTCAATCTTCTTAATTTTCCAAGGGGTAGGTGATGCAACAGCATCAGATGGGGTGGGTGCTTCCTCCCACTTCCCAAAACACGCGTGTTCTCTTTTGGAGGGGAAAGACCTCACCCACTGCCCAGCAGAGAGACCCAACTTGGTGAAAGCAGACAGGGATTCTTGGAACCAGCTGGTCCCCTTTATTTGAGGAAAAATCAGATCACCATGCCGGCTTCCATTCTTTTCTTGCAATATGTCTGTGATTATTAAGAATATGGATGTTGCATTCCACTTTAGATCCACCACCTCCTCCTTGGTATCCAGAAGAACTGGTGGAGAGAAAGACCCAAAACCAATGAAAGATGAAAATCTCATGCCTGTCATTCCTTTCCCTACAGCAGGAGGATGAAGGAGTTTGTGTTTTTGTCCCTGCTGATAAGCACACAGCCTGCAGGGCAGGACAAGGTTTTAGTTCGTGCCAACCAGTGACCTGCCCCTGATCCCCAGCATAATGCCCCAGGGCACCAGTTTATCTACCCCTCTTGTCAAAGACTTGCTTTCCCACATGCTTAGATTCTCTTAGCTGGAAACAAAGAAAAAATATTGCACACTGGAGAGCAACACAGCAACCTCTAGCATCATCCAAATACAGGAGATGCTTTGGAGTTTTTTCTTCCATATTCCCCATGACAGCCATTTTGTGAGAGTGCCTGCAACTTATTCTTAACATTTCAAACATGCCACCTGGTCTAAAAACAAAGAAATGGCAGAGCTCAGGAAGAAGCTGATGGGTTAGTTTCTGGGGATAACCTGCCTTGTTCAGCTGTGGACTTGTTGAGATAATGTGGACCAGCTGTCCAATCAGCCTCCATTTCTTCATAAAATGGAAGAGGCATGTGGAAGATCAGGCTGAAGCTTGTAAAGCACATGACATAATAGTAATAGGAGAGGGAGATTGAAAGCACTGTTTGTGCACAGCTCCAACTTCAGCTGCCTATAAAATTAACCACCCTACATAAGAGAATCAGGAGACTTGGGAATCACAGCAGTTAACTCTGCATTCCCCTACTGCTGTCTTCCCTAAGCTTTTGCAAATGGTGGAATAAATACATAGTGCTACATGCAATACAGTTGGGAACTGTGATGCTCTTCTAACAATATCTTAATTGGGTCCACAGGTTACCAACCAGAAAATATAACTAACCATCCCCAAACACATGTTCTCCACTTAATAATTAATGCCATAAATAAATAAACAAACAAACAAATAAATCCTGGTATTTAAATGACAGTCTGCTGCCTACGGGCTTTTTAGGCTCAGTTTCAGAAGTATTGCCTTATATGATGAGCTGGTAGCTTAACTTTAAAAATGTCTGCTTAATTTGGGCTCTGAAATGCAAGCATAAATAAGTGCAATGCATATAAGTATATGGGGACGGGGGAATTTGGGTGCCATTGAAACTCTCTGTGAATCGTATGCCAATATAATATAATATAATTACAAACTAAATTAGGACAGAAAAAGTGAAAAAGAAAGAAAGAACCTAAAAAGCTTAAAGTGCAAACCACATGCCTTTCTATGATGTATTTAGGTATTAGGAGCAGATGTTTTCCATGGAAGCATATATGTTATTTGTTTTCATTTCTAGTAGCTTCCCAGAACAGAAAGGCAATTGTCTAGGATGAATAGGTGGCTTCTCAAAAGAATCTTCCTTCCCCTTCAATTCCCCAAGTTTATAAATCAGCGCAAACTATGTTTACAAACAGCATTTAGTCCTTACTTCTGGCACCATTAATACTGAGAGGACTTAGATAGATTCCAGCATAATTGCCACCTACTATTTATAAATATTAGTTTCCCAGTCCTATGGGGTAGCTGACAAGCTTGTAGAGTTGTAAAATGTGGAGCTGGGACCTCTTCCAATAAACTACTATGGATTGTGTGTTCTAAGGTCTCAGAACAGACTACATTTGGCAAGCTGCTGGAAAGAAAAAAAAAACCCTCTAAATTGGGCAAATCTGGTATAAATAGCAGATCTACAGCTTTCTGTCTCATGAACAGAACCACTTTTCCTCCTGTGTTTTCTTCTATTTTCAGCTCAGGCATCCGTGTTAGGTAGAGCCAGGTCATGCTCTTTGGAACATCCTGCCCCCAGAGGTGCAATTGGCCCCCACACTCCTGGCCTTCCATAAGGCTTTGAAGACCTGGTTCTGCCGCCTGGCCTGGGGTGGGGTGGGGTGGGGTGGGAATACCTCAAGCATGGGGATGGCTAGCCCCATAGAGGCCTCCTGTCTTCAGCCTCAGATTTTTCATCCTCTTGGATTCTCCTTCTCCTTCTCCCTTTTAGTAATGTTTTTAATTAAGGTTTTATGTATTTATATATTTTATGTTTGGAATGTTTGTTGTGAATTGCCCATAGTTCCCCCATTGGGGGGAGATGGGCAGTTGAAAAATTTAATAAATAAATAAAAAATAAAATAAATATTGTGCTATGGTGACTCATGGGTTATAAGTCCCGATATCTGTGTTGTGGTATGGTGGGCCACCACAGAATAGTGTCATCCAGTTGACAAGCACTATACTGTGATCTAGTCCCCCCCCCAAGTTTTGATCATCTGCTTCCCTAATTCTTTTCCTTCCACTTTCTCTAGGCAGCGTACTGTCCAACTAGACAGAAGGAAGTCCTTATTGGGTTTAAAAACTGCAGTGTCCTTTTGCAACTTTTAAAATGTGCTTTTAAAAGATCCCTGTATGTTTGTGGTTGCCTAGTTTATATTTAGAGTCAGTGTGATGGTGGGGATGTGTATATCAGACCTCTGGTCACATATATTTGGCCCATATAAAATAGTAGCACTGGTTCTCATTGTCTCTTAAATCACTGACCATGATTATTATAGCATTATTATGGTGTTTTAATGCTATCTTCCTCCTACATTCAGAAACCTCTAGTAGTTTGAGTAGTTCTCTAGATAGCGTGTTGTATTTTAAACGGAAACTCCTTGTTTAATCACAGAAGCACGTTTGCCTTCTCTGCATTTTATAGAAAACCTGGGATCACAACTTGCTCTGCAGATCATGAGTGGTTCTGCTGTTAGCCATGCTAGGTAGATGAGACCGGAGCATCAACTCCGCAGAAAGATTCAAACTATTTTTATTGAGATTGGCTATAATAACAGAATCTTGCAGTTCTGGGTTTTGTGTCTAATCTTTCCTTCAGAAGTCAAAACTCTGCAAAGCAGGCTACATTTCCTCCTAAAATAATTTTTATGCAGAATTCAAATAATTGACAAAAGGGAATATAGTAAACACCAACTACCATTGTAATAGGTGATCTGATTAATTTAGAACTAAGTGCTGTATCTTCATATTTCCAATTTATGCTTTTTTAAAAAAAAATTTTGCAGTCCACTGAAAAATTTCCAGGTGTTTTTCTCAGACAACTTGGATCATAAGACATTAAATATGTTGGCCAATAGGTGTCTGCTTCAGAAAGCCCATAGGTCCCAAGGCAATATTTATATAGGTTAGCTGGGCTTAATACTCATCCCACAGTTACACCTGTGGCAAACTGGGGTGAACTGGCATCATGACTGCAATCCATTCAAGTCAGTTGCCTTGAGTTAAGAATTAATTTTTTTCTTGCATAGAACCCTAAATAGAAGTGTTCAGTTCTCCCTCTCCGCCTACCCCCAGCAAGGAGCATGTGGCAACTATATTAATCTTGTGGTCAGGAAGAGAGAAAGATGCACGTATCAGATCCCTCAGATGTTGCTTGATTTTGGTTTTGTAGCCTTTTTCCTTTCTTCCTTTTCTCTATAGGAAGATCCTAAGTGGGAATTTCCTCGGAAGAATCTGGTGCTTGGCAAGACTCTTGGTGAGGGAGAATTTGGAAAAGTTGTCAAAGCAACAGCCTTCAGGCTTAAGGGCAAAACTGGCTATACGACTGTGGCAGTGAAAATGTTGAAAGGTAGGTTCTGTAATGGGCCTGGGAAGATCTGAGAATAATTTGGTAATTTCTAGCTTGGAAGAAAAACAGTCATCTATTCCTGTTCTGTATCTGTCTACTTATTATAACATACAGTATATATCTCACCTTTGATGTGGGAACTCAAGGTGGCCCACTTGGGATTCATCTCTAATTTTCTCCCTGGAAGAACAACCATGGGAGGCTGAGAGACAGCAATCACCCCCTGAGGTCCATAATAAAGTCCAGGTCCAGATCTACCCAGTTTAGCTCTAACCGCTGTGCTACACTGCCTATGCCAGACCAGTGGTAGTAATTTGATGGAATGTGACAGCAGAGTGTTAGCTTTGCCGATGCATCTCAGTTAAATTATCTTTTGATAGAGGCATCTCACAGCTTTATAAGAATGGCCTGCTTTTTAGCTGTATCTGAGTGCTGCCCATCAGATTAAGGGGAAGATGCCACGCACAGCTATAAAAATAGCAGCTCAGTTTCATCAGGTGCTTATTACAGTCACCCTGTCAATAAATAAGAGCCAGATCTTTAACTAAGCAATACCAATCCTTACACCTGCCAAAAAGATTCTTGGTATGTCATAAAAGGATGTGAAAGTGGAGGACAAGTTAAAAAACCATCCGAAAACATATTGGTTTACAGTATCTCCTCTCCATTCTCTTCCATAAGCTTGCTATTGGGTTAAATTTTTGTGCATCAGAATTTTCTTCTTTTCTGTCCCCTGAAGTCATCCATATGTTCTAACCTGCACCAGAGGGTCCCTTTAACAGTCCTGAACACATTTTGGGGACAGAGAGTGAATTGTTCCTTCTTCTTCCACTGGCAGAACCCATACTGTCATTAGAAAGGCTCTGAAGTCCTTGGGTTGAACAGAGCAAGCATATGAACTAAGCAATCCCAACCCCAGGGGTAAGGATTGAGGTGGGCAAAACAAAAACCAGAGGTCCCAAATCAGAAATAGCCATTACATAAACCTACAACAACTGCTTGGCTTCAAGGCGTCAGGTGCTGCAATAACCATCTGTTAATTTGGAAGGGAAGAGGAAGAAGCCTAGAACTGAAGTCTCAAACTCCTGCATTTAAAGCTCTTGAATATCTAAAAGTTCCTGATGTCTTTGTACTGCCATGGGCAATCAGCTGTTTTACACGTGGCTTTGTTCTTATCTGCAATAGAAATTCTAATGTAGCCGAGCTCCTTCTGTGAGTCTTTAGCCAAGTCAAGCCAAAGAGTTGAACTAGAGTGTCAGGAAATCTGTGGTTTAGGACTAGGCCAAGCCTCCGATCAGGCACGATGGAACTGGAATATGTCAGGGGGAGAAGAAAGAAAAGCATGAAGGGGTGTGTACAGCTGGAAAACAGACAGTGCAGTCCTGAATATTCAAGAAAATTAGCCTTTGGAACTCAGACTGAGAGGGGAAGGGGACAAAGTAACTTGAGGCAAGACCACATGCACATTATACATAGAAGTTGGTTCTGCTGAAACTCAGATTTTTGCAGAAGGGTCAACATGCAACAGCTGTCAACGGCTTTTGGAAATCTCTCTTTATTGTCTGGCTGGCACAGTGACTTAAATATTGCTCCTCAAATAGACTGTAGTTTGTGGAGTCCTTGTTTGCTTGCAAATGTTTTGTTACCTGGCTAGGTAACATCTTCAGTGCTGGAAGGAAGTGGGGTTTGCTCTCTGTTCTTATATACAGTAGCTTGCCCTGCCAACGTTGATGGGGGTAGGAGTAGTTCCTTGAATTAGGGTATTGTTTTCTGCTTGATTGTTAGCCTGGTGTTAATCTCTGCTTATCTGGGTGTAGGCTGCTGGAGGGGGTGTGTTCTGGTCTTTTTGTTTCCTTCTTAGCTTTTTTATTGTCTCTTTTGAATGGTGTGCAAATGTGGTTTATTTCTATGTATCTAGATTGCAGTTTGTTGGGCTATAGAAATAGGCTTCTTACCGTGCTAACACTAGCACACAAACTTGTGAGCTTCACTAGGAGACATTTTAAATTTGTCAAAAAGTTTAGTTGGTTCAATAAAACCACTTTTGTTTACCTCATTCAGATCTCTCTGGAACCTTTGGAAATAATCTTCTTCAAATCTATCCTGATCGTTTCTGTAATATCTTGCAACTGATCTGAAGGGTTAGAATGAAAAAAGTTATCATACTTGGAACTGAAATGTTGACCTCCTCCAAAAATGTAAATATTCTCTGAAACTGAATAATAACCCAGCAATAATGAGGAACATCTTTAAAAACTTGCTGCAGTTTCAACAAATACTTTCTAACTCCCTTTGGTTCAGTATCAGAGTTTTGAAACCATTTTCAGACAAAATACTGTACATTTGCAGGTTGGCATTTTGATAGAATATTCTTCAACCATCATCTTTATATCAGGAAATTTTTATCTATGTTCTTTCATCTGTTGCAATTTACCTTTTAGTTAACAAAGGAGCAAGCTTCTGCCAAATTACAAGTTAGTTTCTGCCAGGAATGGGTATCAATTTAGATTCGAAGATACAGTACGTCACTGAAAAGATTCAGACACAACACCAGAGTGTATCAGATTTGGAATGCCAGAAGAGTTTCAACATTCGATTTGTCAGTGTCCATGAATGAATCAGATTCTTGGAAGTGGTGGTTTAAGCAGCCAAACCAGTGTAACCCGACACTGGTTACAATGACTTTTTTGGGTTGTTTTTGTATATAGTTGACAATGAAGAAAAACACACAGGGAATGAAAGCCCTTCTCCCTTAAGTAACATATGGGTTCAGCAAGGCACTGCTGGGGAGGGGCGAAGTCTTCTTTTTAGGAAGGAGAAGAGGAGGTTCCCCAACCTTCTAAGCTGTTTGTTAAAAGTTGCTATTTCAAACATCTTGAGGGTTCACCGCACGATTTACTGAATGCTGTGATGAAGTAATCATTTGCTAGGTCTGCCTTGACAGAGCACGTCTCTGCCATCAATAGAAGATACAAGTTCAGGATGTACACTTCTCAGCAGCACCTAGACATTCTTGGTTGGTGTAAAAAAAAGAAAAAAAAAAAGCATATGGAGGGAAGATCTACCAGGCAATCTCAGAGCTTTGGACTAGCCTGAGAAGTCAACAAAGTACCCAAGAAGATGAAAATGATGAATTGGCCCTCATCTTGTTGCCAAGATAACCACACTGATGTGACAATGTAGTAAACAGGAGTTCAGCTTGATTTGTCAGTATCTCCTTCCAGATTCTGTTCCTTTTCCCCCCCTTCACGGAGGTTAAATCTTAACAACAGATATTCCTTTGGACTTATGAATCTTCTCATGAAGTTACTGAAAGGAATGTGCATTTGTTTGAATCTGCTGATGATCCTGTGAGGACCTTACATTTTTATTGCTCCTTGGCAGGCCATCTCAACTTCTCTTTCAAGGAAGGTTCTCAAAATCTTGAAACACCACATACACTTGAGAGCAGTGACAGAATGATGAGCATCCATTCTTATGCTTTCCTTTGCAGTGTGTTATAGGGTCTGAAACATTAGACGTTATGTCAACCCAGTGACTGAAAAAGGGTGTCAGTCAAGGAATCTAATGGGGCTTTTTGTCTAAAAAGTCTTCAGTCAACCTCATAAAACAAGATTTGATTTCCCCGGTTTACTGTCTATCCTTTTTTTTACATTATTCTGTTTCATACTTTGATGAAATAAAATATAAGTATTTTTATGTGAATTCCAGCTAATTCACAGGAATGTACTTTGAAATTAAAGTCTAAGTAAATATGTCTGTCTGATCCCAGTTCTTGGGCTTAAACAAGTTTGATTTATTTCCAAATCAAAGTGGTGCTTTGATTTGCTTCCAATTCTACCCAAGTTCTGCTTTCTAAACTCCCTCATATTACTTCCCTGTGCCTATTCTTTCTTTCCTTAACCTCTAATAAATATAATCACCAGTTCAGCTTTGCCAGAGAAGCTTAAATGGATGTGTCACTTTCCACCCAAATGCATCAGTACTCTCCCCCTTGTAATTGTTGTGACTTAGTCATTCTTTTTTCCCCTTCTTCGTTGGCGTTTGGGTAACGTTTAAAGATTGTGTAATGCTCAGGAATTGTTCACCTCTACACCTACCAGGGATGATTGACCTTGTGGATGAATTAACAGTATCTGTAAGCTTGACACGGCTCATATCACATGGTTCAAAGTGAGGACAGGAAACTAATCAAAATGACTAGACACAATGCAGGACAGAGCTCCTGTTCTTTTAAGAGCTTTGTAGAAGATGGAATTTCAGTAGACAGATCATTAGTAAAGATGGGCTTTCTGCATTATCTCCCTTGGGAGAATAAAGATCAAAGGTGCCTTTTCCATAGCTGGGATAATGGTCTGTTAAGTTTATATGCCGCCCAACCCCAGCAACTCTGGTTTACAAATGATCTTGGAAGTTTGATATAAGCTTGGAAGTTTAATGTAAAAAAAAAAAAAATAGCAAGACTTGCATTATGTTTGCCATCATCTCATCAAAAGGAGAGTCATTTCTCCACTATTTACATAATACTCTCAAGTATAATTGGTAAATTATGCCTCTGGTCATAGAATGGGTGCCTTGATGGGTTGCTTCTCTCTTCCTGCTCTGTTCTGCAGAAAATGCTTCCACAAGCGAGCTCAGGGATTTGCATTCTGAGTTCAACCTTTTGAAACAGGTGAATCATCCTCATGTCATCAGACTCTACGGGGCTTGTAGCCAGGATGGTAAGTGCCGGGCATTTGATTCCTAGAGTGAAAGAATGAGCAAGAGACAATGAGGGATCCTAAGGGTGGGAGTGGAAGAACATGGGACGGACCACAGTGGGGTGTGTCCATGGAAAGAAGAGGAAAAAAGTTGGGGGACATGCTCCAGCCTATTTAAAAAGAAGCAAGAGTCCTGGGCAATTCTGCTCTTTTTAGATTCCTGGCTGGACAGAACATTCAGAGTTTAAAAGCTAGGTTTGCCTAGGAAGAACCATGCACCTGTTAACTCTCCATAGCATGGTCTTATTTATCTGGACCATATAAATAGCAATTGCTGTCGCGAGCAATGACCTCAGATTCTCAGTTTCTAAGGCAAGTGCACTCTTTAGCAATTATCATATTATTTCTGATCTTGCCTTGTGAGAGTCTCTGCTGATTTGTGTTGTAATATGTTTCAGAGAATCCGCAGGTAACCTGGACTGTCTGCGCAGTAAGGCTGTGCAGAGTGCTGGATTGGAACAGCAAACTATGATCTGGAAGATGGGTAGACACACACGTAGCAGCTGTTGGGAATGCCATAAAGTAACTGCTTCTGCTCCTCTGCGGCTCCCTTCCAAGCTGATTCGCAACCCTGGAAAAAGACACGTTTGGTTTAAGATGATCCTGAGAAGTGAACATCTTAAATGAAAGGTGGTGGAGGAGAGCTTAGAAACATATATCCCATATTGGTGGCTTCCCCAAATACTGAGCTGTATTTCCAAAATACAGTCAAAGTGGGAAACTTTTATTGTGCATAAGCTCCTTGTGTGATGTGATTTCTAGCAGATCGAATGATGCACAAGGGCTTTGAAGGATTATTGTGAGTTTATGATGGAGGCAGCATGCATGCCGTGGGAAATAAATAAATAAAATATCAGTTTATCCCCCAATTCAGTTGGGCACACTTCTGAATAGTAATGTGTCAGACTACACTGATCTTCTCTTGGTGCAGAGTTTGTTGTTGTTGTTTAAATCAAGGAACTTGTCATATTTTGCCAGTTGCATCTGTCTATTGAGAGCAAGTTGATTTAACTTTTCTTCTGCATCTTTCCCCTCAGGGCCTTTATACTTAATCGTGGAGTATGCTAAATATGGCTCCTTGCGGAGTTTTCTAAGGGAAAGCCGGAAAGTGGGACCCAGCTATGTGGGAAGTGATACAAACAGAAATTCTAGCTACTTGGACAACCCAGATGAGCGTGCCCTGACTATGGGCGACCTGATCTCATTTGCATGGCAGATCTCTCGTGGCATGCAGTATCTTGCTGAAATGAAGGTATGGGGTTCCCCTAGATGCCCACCCTATTTCCATGGTCTTTTCTATGGTAGGCATGTCTGTTAATTTCTTATTTTTATTTTTCCAAAGCTTGTGCATCGCGATTTAGCAGCCAGGAATGTCTTAGTAGCAGAAGGGCGTAAAATGAAGATTTCTGATTTTGGCTTGTCACGGGATGTTTATGAAGAGGACTCTTATGTCAAGAGAAGCAAGGTGAGGCACACAGTTATTCATTTCCACGCTGATCTGTTTATTAGAAGGATCTGTAAAAGGCTGCTAGAAAATATTGGGACTTAGAGCATTGAAGTAGGAAGGGGCATAATCAGTGTCTACAAATAGCTTTATAAAATGGACAGAATAGGAAGGTGTGGTTCACCATTTTTATCTCCCTGGTCCACAAGATGTTCCACAAGAGGTTGCTGAAGTGGTATCTTCTGATCTCTGCCTATCATTATTGCTGAGGCAAGGGCGTTCATTTGAGTTTGATTAAAAGTCCAACAGTGTTTCACCATTGTGATGTGGAAAAGCCGGGGTTGAGGGAAAGCTGTTATTAGCCAATCTTCTGTACAAATGGGTGGGAATTGAATTGCTAGCCTTTTATAACCCTGAGTGCTAAATCTGTTGTCTAATTTTTCTTCTGGCATATTTTAAACCCAACAAATCCTGGAGAAACCATAAACATGTAAATTTCTCCCCTGCAATTCTCTTACGAGGAGATTTAAATTTGTCTTCTAGAATTCAAGGGACCAAACTGACTGTTACAAAGGCAACTTCCAGTCAGAAATTGGAATGGAAGCCAGATCTGTGTTCCCATCAAAACTATTCCTGTCTTCTATTCTAGTACCACTTTTGATACACATCAGGAACTGTAGAAACAGAATGCAAGGATTCAACTGAATCATTCCAGTTGCCTATATATATAAATGAACTGGTTTGAGATGACACCAAATTATTCAGGGTAATAAAAAGCTTGTCCAGAGCATCAGAAAGGTTTCAAGAAACCAACTGAGCTTTAAAATGGCAAATATGATTCAATGTAAGTAAGTACAACTGGATACATACTGTATTAGAACTTCTAAAAAATCCTGATTTCATATATATACTTCTTGGCCCGAACTGGCAGTCTGACCAGAAAAGGGTGTGGAATGGATAAAGTCAATATAGTATATCACTGCTGCTAAAATAAAGCAAAATGAAACAAAAAACCGAAGCAGATTCCATGCTAAGAATCATTGGAAAAAGAACTGAAAAGAAACTTTATGTAAATCTGTTGTGACCTTACTACGTACAGCTCATTACACTGCACCACAAAAAGGATATTGTATATCTGGAAAAGGTGAGAAAAAGTGTTCTCTTGTGAGGGAAGATTATAACATTAGGGATTTTTTTTTTAGCTGGGAAAAATAAGGAGACATGCTGGAGGTATGGAAGGTAATGTAGCGTGAGCATTTTTTAAATTTTTTATTCCACCCTTACAATATTAAGAATTTGAGGTTATCCACCAAAACTAAATCCAGGGAGATTCGGAGCCAATAAAAATAAGTACTTTATAGAATGCATAATTAAATTATGGGATTTTCTGCCATCAGATGCAATTACGACCACTCATTTGGATGGTTTCTGAAAGAGGATCAGACCGTTCATGGAAGCTTCTGTAACTAGTATCAGCGTGGGAAACACGAGGTGCTTCAAAATATTGTTCGCCCCATAAAGCAGTGTTAAAAAAGGCAAGAGTCAGTCATCTCCTTGAAGGTGTGGTGGGACTGTTTCTGAGGCTGAACGCTGCAGTTCTTCTCAGGGTTTTGTTTTGTACAAACGTTATAATTGCCAAATAATTATCTCTCCACACCCACGTTGCCAGAGGAAGAGCAATCTTTATGACATTTTTTCCACACCCAGGATTCATGCCCTCACCATGTAATCGCCAGCCGTTATCTGACAGCTGGGAAAAAACCCTCTTTCCTTAAATCAGTTCTACTTTGCCTTTACCATGAATTACAGAAACCAAAACTTAGACCACATTTTATAGTGGCAGCTTCTGCATATAAATTAACCCAACTCAAGACATACAAAAAATAGCTCCCTCTCTAGCAGTATGGTAATTAGCACGACTTGGAGAATACAGTTTTTTGGTTTGGTTTCTTTCGCTGAGTGACTGTCTTTTCACTCCAACTGGTGCACAATTTCTTCTCAGTCATGTAGGATGTCATCAAACAAGGTGAAATGTAAAGCACAAAAAATGGTAACATTTACAATCATTTCATTGCTATATACTAAGGTTGTCCACTTCAGTGAAAGACAGCATTGCAGATTATTCTTGGTTTACTTTTAAATCGAGCACATTTCTGGCCTTTATAATTGTACCAAAAGGGATTCTGCTAAAATCTAAAAAATGAAATTGCGTCCATGATGGAATTTCTTCACTCCAAATGTCTGTGTCTTACAATCTAAGCGTCTCTTTTACCACCAGTCCCTCATGTTTCAACAGCAGTGGTATTTTAAGAAAAGAAAACATTAAAAATGTTTCTGCCAATTCTCTTAACTAACATAACCAGGATAATTCTGCATATTGTAACCTTTGAATCTTCTCTGGGCCAAGTTAGTATACAGTAACTGGAAAGTCTATCACCTGAAAATAAAAGAACTTCTCTCTGAGAAAAAGCGATGACAGAAATTGAAAAAGATGGATAAAAAAGAACTGCTTGCAAATTTTGCCTTTAGAAGTAATATTCAGATGTTCTTTCCCAGAAGTAATCATTCTTTTTCTTCCAACAGGGTCGAATACCTGTAAAATGGATGGCAATAGAGTCTCTGTTCGATCACATCTACACAACCCAGAGTGATGTGTAAGTCGATTTATGCTATTATAAATTTGTATCTTTAAATCCGAGCAGGGTCTCCATGGGTCTCCGTGGTGTTCGTGCGAAAGAGACTTTTGCTCTACGTGGGTATCCCTGGGGGGAAGGGGGCAAATCATTTCATAGCTCGAAATATGTACTTTGTGTCAGTCATATCATTACATGAACCTTTGCAGATGATGAATATTTGCGCCATGATGTGAATTATGCAAATGACATAGTTCGTATTATTTGTGTTATGATGTCATGCAGGTATGATGTCATAATGGTGTCTACTGGAAACCTGTGTTGTTCCATATTTGTCTTATAGAAAATGCCAACACTATCTCTTGACCTTCCCAGAAAAAGAATCATCCTGGTTCAGTCTAGTTTTTCCTAATAAGCTTTCCTCAGCCAAAATATCCATGGACCCAACTTGTCCTTTTCCTGCCTAATGATTACCGTTCCATGCTGCTGACTACATGTTTGTAAGCCACCAAGGAAGGTCTCATTCCAGAGTCTCCAGCAGTTAATCTCCAGCACTTTATCTCCTGCACTGCCAGAACATTAGTCTTCCAACAAACCAGATCTCTTAAGCTAAATATAATAAATGGTACCTTCTCAATAAAATCCATTAATTTCACAGGCCACTGGGATACAGCAAGCTCTATAAAATGCTTGGATCCAAGTTCGGCTTGAGTAACTTGATTCTTTGATCAGGAATACACAACAGCTAAAAATCCTGTCCGCTGAATTGTCAGTATTAGAAAGGCAATATGCCAATATTTTTAGCAGGTTAAAAAAAATACACAGCTCTTGACCATTTTTTTTCATGCAACCCAATTTCCTTTCATAATTTGACATGTACATTTCCCCAATGTAGGCTTTTGAAATGCAAATTTCCCTAACATAGGCTTTTAGAAAAGTATAATTGCCATTATTTACATGCAGCTTTCAGCAATGCACTTCTTTTCAGACACTGATTTGTACTTGTACAGCAAAAAAGTTCTAGGAGATATAGAAAGCCAAAATGACGTATAGCAGAACTTTTCTGAGATGCCACTCAAAACCTCTTGGTGAAAACTTCATCACCAGCCTCACTTTATCAGCCTTTGATTCTGATTCTTTTTGCCTTTGTTAGGGTTGGATCTCTCCAGCAATCATAATGAAAGGATGATGAGAGAAAAAATATTATTCTCTGCTGTCACAATACTATCCCTAAAACTTTGCCCCAGGACAACACCACCCATTGTCCTGTAGGCCACTCGCCATCAGTCTGTTCTGATGTATTTTTTTTCAACTGACAGCCACACCTAATACCAGCTCCTTCGGCTGCTCAGACTTTGCATACGAATATCCTGGCCTTTTGGAGACTGCAAAAAAATGGAGGTTTGGGGAAAGAGGTGGTGTTTCCATCTTAGAATAACTCTGTGCTGTTCTTTTTTTAAAAAAGCCCTGCTCCTTACTGCAGTCTCTCATTTGCGCAGCTATCTTGAGAAAAATACCTTTCCACAGCAACTGTGTAGTTCCTCTTTCAGAGATTACTATGTTTATCCATTTTTGTTTGCTGGCTATTACCCCTGGGCCATGGGGTTCCTCTTTCCCCCTACAACTTCTCTGAGAACCCACAATACCTTTGCTGGAGGATCCCATGTGATTCTGGAGCCCATTTTGAGTCATACTAATGGGGCTGCAGTGAGGTTAGGGGAATTTTGCAAATAGAAAAACCGTGTTGGATTCAAGTGCTAAAGAAAACAGACTCTTCGTTGTTTGGTATCAAAATACATCCACAGAGTAAGGAGAGTTCTCAGACCTCAAACAAAAGAAAAATGAAGGATGGCCAGGCCAGCAGAGAATACTTCTACTCATATTTCAATAAGCGGAGGATGAAGAAACCACAGAGCACTGGGAAATAGCCAACTTGACTGTAATAGCAAAAAAGAAAGATTTGTCCCAATGTGATGACAGAAACTTCACAAATTTAGTCTAACTGGGTTATTTAATAAGCATTTATTTGGAGAAATACCTCCAGCAAATGTTAGCAAATCCAGGTCTCTTTGCACCTCTAATGTTAAACAGTGGATTAACAGTAATGTGGTAATAAGTAAAAATTATTTAGAATGGTTGTCTGTTAGCTTCTACCTACCAATCCCCTGCATTTTTAAAACTCTGTTTGTGGGCTTCTTGTAGAGTCTGCACCCATTGAGGAAGATTGTTGCTTTTCAAAGAATAGTCTCCTTTACGATCTGCAACTACAACGTTTTTTAGCGGCACTAGATGGACCTTTAGTCTGATCCAGCAAAACAAGGCCACTCCTGCATCAGGGTTGTTGGACAAATAAGTGTTGCAGCAATTAAGCCTAGGGCATACATGGAACATTGGTAGAACCAAGCTTCTTCCAGGTGTCTTATCTGTGATAGTGAGGTTTCTAGACAAAGGTGAAGTGCTGTTTCTGGCATGACATGAGACCCATGATCATCAAATAGCTACCACGATCAGAGGCTTGCAATTGAGCAAAATCTGGATAGCATCCCCATTGTTTCTCTAGAGAGGGAGATGTGGTTTCCAGGCTGTTTTTTTCTCCAAAATGGACATTTTATTTTTCTTAGATGGCTTAGGGAAAAAAGGAAACAATTCCAGCTGGTCATTTACAAATCAGTTTTTCCCCTGTTTGCTTCACTTGGAGAACTGTGTGTGCAGGAAGAGTTATAAGGAAAAGAAGATAGGGCAGGTCCATAAGGGGCATATTAATGATGATACATGACTTATCCTTAGAATGGTACATACGCTGAACCTGCTAATTTTTCCACTTGTTCCATTTTGCCAACATAAGCAAGAGAGATACTGTTGAAAAGCTGGAAGAGACAGGAAGATCATATAATTGTTCTTGAGAAGTTTCCAAGGACCAAAATTCAAAGGGTCTATTACTTCCAATGGTAACACAAAGACATGTTATTCGTTTATGGAGCCATCAGTATTGTAGGGAATTTTCTCCTCTTGCACAGTCACCACCTTCATCTTTGATCTATCTGCATGTGTAGTTATCATGGCAGAAACTCCCATATGTAAATTGATTAAATCAATCAATCAATCAATCAATCTTGGAAGAAAAGGTCAAGACTAAATGTATCATTCAGAGATAAGAATTGGCTCTGACCTACCACTCAGCTATAATTCACATTTATTGCTACAGTTTCCTTTATATCCAGTCTACTTGGGAAGCATTTCTCTGTGTTTTTATAATAGACACACAAATAATAGTAAGCTCTCCTCATACCCACAACATTTTATTTTCCTCAGGTTTTGATACAGATTTGACTTGCTTTAAGTGCTACGTGTTCCAAAGTAGCTTGAATAAATTCCTGTATGCTTCTATACTCCTGGGCTTATAACACTGCAGAACTAGCCAAAATCCTGTTTATAAATTAGATGTCAAGGCTAATGAATTGCTTTGTAACTATATTACACCACCCCTCACTTACGGAATAATGTTTTCAGGAACCCTAAGCTATAACTACAGTACGTGAAGTGACCCAAGGCAAAATTTACTTGGAAAGTTCTGTGCAAACTTGCATAGACAAAGAGACATAGTATATTGGACTATGGTTACTGTACTTTCTAAATTTTAGAAAAAATGCAGATATGCTTATATAAATAAGCCTTACGTGATCAGCCACAGGATCCATTCATTTTAGTGGAATATGTAGGAAATATTGCTCACAGGTTGTGCATTCAAGATACAGCTAAGGAAGTATAAAAATGCTTAAGATTAATGCCTCTCTTTTATTTGCAAGGATAATTCAAACCAAGAGACAGCTTGCCTGTTAAAGTAATAAAAGTGGTAAAGAGTCAAACTATGATTAGGACACTAAAATTCAGTCATTACTCTGGGTAAATCACTCTCTCTCAGCTTAATGTGGTTTAAAATATTGTAAAAGAAGAGGGAAAAGGGAGAGGATAAATAGTACAAATATACAGTGCTTGTAGTTAAAAAGGAAGGTCCTAGGAGATAAAATCCAAATTACTGTTTGCCATAATCACAGCATGCAATCATTGCGTGAAGGTTGCATTAACTTGAATAAATGGCATGAAAAGAGAACAGATGGGCTTCAAAAGCATTTGAAAGTCTTCGAATCCAGCTATCAAGGAAGCTGCAAATACGTTTTCCCCATGCTAATCATAAAAGGTCTTCAGAATAAGTACATGACTCAGTCATGCAAGCAGCTTAACTTGCAAATCCACATCTGTTTTTTGCACCCTAGTTTTTTACTTAATGTAATTTCTTAACATCTTTGAAAATTAATGAAATGCTGTCTGAAAGGAAAATAATACAGTTGCCAAAAAGTTTCCAAGTGTATTCAAAAAGATGCCAGTGAGTTTGTAAATGCAACACCTGAATTCAGTTTCATGAAGAACAGCTTCAATCTCATACAGATCATGTGCATTGATTACAATGGGACAACCAGCCCTTACTTTCTATAGACTGTCCTCTGTAAGTGATGACCAAACTTAGTTCATCTGAGAGCCAAAATACATACTTGAAAAACAAAGCAAAACCCTTACATTTGTGATTCTAGTGCAGTTCAGCAGAATTGCAAAAAATTCTGCTCTTACTTTGCACCATGAAATTTTGCTACAGCCTGTCCTCTGCAACTTGATATTTGATAAGAAAGAAAGTTTGGAAAGCTGGCAAGAAAAATAGAGTTTCTCTTCAAATGTGTTTGTCCTCACTTCTTTTGTGGTATTGTGCAAGGTTTATTCTGCCTAGCTAACTGTGCTTCCAATGTTTTCCCCCCCACCCCCCAGATGGTCATTTGGAGTGCTGTTATGGGAGATTGTCACCCTTGGAGGTAATCCATATCCAGGAATTGCTCCTGAGAGACTATTTAACCTCTTAAAAACAGGTTATAGAATGGAAAAGCCAGAAAACTGCAGCGAGGAGATGTAAGTAACCTCAGATAGCCGGTGTTACTAATCAGAAGGATTATATCCACCCATGAAGGATGATAATCAGCTACTTTCTCTTAGGTTTCAGCAGCTTGGATGAACATGATCATCCATAAGGGGCCAAGGGAGGGCAAGTGATCTCCAGGACATCATGATGTCATCTGCAAATGGCACAGATCATGCAATTTGTGGCATTTGTGTGAAGATGTCATGAAGCTTCTTGGTTTCTCCTGGTCACCTTTGTGGATGAGCCATAATGCAAGGGGCTAGCAGTATATGTACCTGAGCTGCCCAGGAGCAATTATTTTCCTCACCATAAGGTGGGCAGCCTTTAAAGCTTTAAACATAATAGCAAGGGGGTGAGATGTGTTGTACCACAGGAAGGACACTTAATTGGTTCATCTAATTCACTTTCCCAATATTGGCAACTTCTAGATGTGAACTTTACCTCTTCCCCAGCCAACATGACCATGGTTGAGAATTCTAAGACTTCAGATCCACAGATCTGCAAATTGTCATAGTTAGGAAGCACTGGTCTAGCCCATGGAGCCTTAACTAAGACCCTTCCCCATAAGTACATTACTCAGTCTCCTCATTAGTACCAGGACTTGGTGTTGCTTCCATTGGAAGGTCTGCCATATCTGGGCTGCAAAACTCAGAGAAACACTAGGTGGCAGCAAAGGGATACAGAAATGTCTTGCCTTTGGTGCCATCTACTGACTATCCAGGACTTCACAGCGTAGATGCGGTGGGCCTCTCTCAGGGAAAATATGCTTTGGATCTCCCTTGGACCTTTCTTGAAGGTTGCCAGCAGACACCGACTCCTCTTGCTTTCTCCAAATGAAGGCGAGGACTCTTTATCTGATCAGAGAAAAGAATGGCTAGAGGACTGGGAGGAAGTGCTTCTTTTGGGGAAAAAAAAGCACTTTCATTGTTTTATATTCTTCATAACTTTTAAGACTTCAGCCAATGGAAAGGTTGGGTATGAATTGATTGAATGAATACATTTAGCAAAAGTCCCTATTATTGGTCTTCAGAATGTGTGTGTATTTGAGGAGGAATGAATCTGACTTGTCCTAAAGTTTTTTGGGGGCTCTAAAAAGGACACAAAATGCATGAGGAAAATTGAAAAGGATATAGGACAGAGATTTGTGATGTCTTGTATCATAGACATCATACTGCCATATTCCAGTAGATCCTCTACCACCTTCCCAAGAGCAACGAAACAGTAAAGTTGGAATCTGGGAATTTCTTCTTCTTCTTCTTCTTCTTCTTCTTCTTCTTCTTCTTCTTCTTCTTCTTCTCCTTCTCCTTCTCCTTCTCCTTCTCCTTCTCCTTCTCCTTCTCCTTCTCCTTCTCCTTCTCCCTTTTCTTTTTTAACAATAAGATGGCCATGAACATTGTGTCTTTGTGTCTAGGTCTTTGGTTGTCTTGATCCAGTTACCAGTGCTAAAACCTGGGCTGACATATGCACATGAAAAGCTCTACATTGAATGTTTCACTTGACGTCCCACGGCTGGTGCCGGGGCTCGTTCATGCCCATTACTGGGCACATTTGCCTAAAGAGGAAGATCAAGTCTCTGATTAATTCACAAAGCTTTGCTTGTTTTCTTGAAGGTACAATTTGATGCTTCGCTGCTGGAAACAGGAACCAGATAAGAGACCAACATTTTCTGAGATCAGCAAAGAGTTAGAAAAAATGATGGTCAAGAGCAGGGTAAGAACCTTATAAAATTCATTAGAGCTCACTAGGTATGTGTAAGGGTCATTGGTAAATCTCTCTTTAAGAGCTGTTACCCCTTTTTTGCCTCATTTGAAGAGAACTTGTTCAAGGAGAGGTTTAAAGAAAGAATATTTGAAAGACAGGCAGGAAGAAAAGCCTAGCTAATCACCTGAGATCAGATGTGCTGTAGTTATTTAGATTAAAAAAAAACAAAAACATTTGAGGTGAGATATAATTGCACGTGTGTGGGGGGGAGGGTCTGATTATAGTAATCAAACAGCATAGTTGAATTTAAAGAAAGCAGTGTAACTCTAAACACAAGTTCATGAAACATAAAAGGCCATTTCACATAATGTATGGGCTCTTTGGGCATATTTTGGAAGTATGAAATCTGAATTCATCCAACGGGTGTTTGAAAATGCATGCATCATGCATTAGAAAGCATTCCCTTCTGGGACTGTGAAAGAACATTCAACTCATTAATAGAGGAAGCAGAATTCCATCTAAATTTTTTTCTGCTTAGGGAATGTATAAGTAGAAGTAAATCAGTAGGTGTCTAAAGAGCAAATGAGGATCACCTTTAATAACATAATCTACAGCCTGAAGTTTAGAACTTATCCAGACAGCTCTTTTAAATGCTGTGGTGCATTTCTGAAGAGGCACCCTAGCCTTTGCGTATTGTTTTGGAAATTACAGAGTTGTCTCAGCTCTCCTTTCCCAGCCTTGTGAAATGCTGTTTTCTCCTGGCAGTGGCTCATTACAGTTAGCTCCAGACTCAAGCCCTTGTGATCCTCTTTTCATCCTAACATGGATGGGTCTGGATCATTGGTAGTTCTAGAAAAACAAAGCTGATTGGAGGCAGCAGGTCCTGCTAGGGCAAAAGGAATTACAGGCCACCAAGAGTCAGTATTTTTATAAGGAGAAAAGAGACCTTACTTTTGTCCTGAACCCTGCTCTGCTCCCTCCTAACAGAAGATGCAGGAGAGCTGGGGATTGCATTGCTTTGTGAGAGACATACACCTTAGCTGTCTTCTTGACTTGCATCAAGAAGGAAGTATAAACATGGCAGTTATTGCTTTTCATCCCAAAAGATTTTCTATTAACACTTGAGGATGCTTCAATTACTCCTTTATCAAAACATCTATTCAAAATAGCAAAATACCTGTTTCTTATTCAACATACCCTATGCAAGCTTGTACAGAGGTAGTAAAATCTAGAGGCAGAGTACTCCAGTTGACAAAAGATGGCTTAATTCTTGCAGAGAACCACAGAGATGACCTTGGAAAAGGAATGTGGCAGTTAGCAAAATATGACTTAAGTTTAAGGAAGGGAAGAAGGTGTTAGGAAAGGAATTTAAAGTGACTCCACCTTGACTCTGGAATAAGAGGGAGGGAAGGGATAACACTAACAGGCTTGTAAGATTCTGTTACTATAACATATATAGTTCCAGTATTTCTTGTGGAGTCTGGCCTGTCTCAAAAGGTGGACAGTCAGAATTTGGATAAACTGAAATTGCAACAATACTATTAGATTGCTGGGTAAAATGTGATTCTGTTTATACTGACCACCAGAAAGCAGTATGTAACTGTTTTTGTCCTCTGTTGGAACTCATCAGACATACATAGCCAGGTCTTTCTATCCGGATTAAAATCTTCTACCAGGAATTTGAACCCCATAGAAATATATGGCTATGCACATCCGATGAGTCCCAATATCGGACAAAGACACTCACGTACTACCTCCTGATGGTTCATATATAAACAAAAACACAATACACGATATATGCTAGGTAAAAATAGGAAATTTTACACACACACACACCCCAAGCAGGGGTTGTGAAAGTCATGTAAAACCTTATATATGAAGACATGACAGAATATAACACCCGTATCTTTCTGATCTGCTAGCTTAAGGGAAGGTGGACTTTATTTACCCATTTTGATAAATAGGGTAAATACGATGAGCCCACAAGTAATTTTGTTAAAGATTGAAAAGTATCTTGGTCACTCACAGTAATTTAGTTCTCTTGGAAGAATTTTGGGCCCTGAGTTTCCTCTAAAACTTGTTCTTTGTGCCAATGGCTTTTCTGCTTTGGACTATTTTGGACTGGCCCAGAACCTTCATAAAGATTTATTATGATTGGATGACACCAAAAATCTAGGCAGGGCAGGGCACCTCTAGGAAGCTATAAGGTGGCTAAGAAGGGACAGATTAGAGAAAAGCAGTATGTCCCCTTGGCAAAATGGCTACCATGAAACTTAGTCTAAGAAATTGCTATCAGCACCCAACACATAGAGCCTGATACAAAATTCTGCAGTAGGAAATGCTCCCAGTGCAGATTTCTAGTCAGCTCCATTCCATGTCCTCATCCTAGTCAGTTTTCAGTGTTTAAGCTTTACGATTCCCCTGAAGTGCTGTTTCTTTGATTGTCTTTCTGCAAGTCTTGGGGCTTCTCCTTCTGACTCAGTTAGCACTGGCACGCGAGCCTATAACACACAAGCAAACAGAATCCAGTACCAAAAGTTCAGGCCTCCAACCTCTCCTTTCCATTTATTTCCCCCCGTTCTTTTTACATTGTAAATTAGAAAACAACTTACCCTGTCAATGATATGATTGTCTTTTTATATCTCTGGAGAGACTAAAAGAACAGCTCCTTTTCCAAGCACTCGGCAAGCTAATTTTTTAACAGTCCCTTAGCATTCCATAGGCACTCAATAAGCTCAAATCTCAGGGCTGTTTTAGGGAAGTGTCCTCTGCTTGAGATGTTTTCCAAACAGAGAAAATACTTGGTATATTTTTTTCCTATCAGTTCTCATTCAGTTTGATGTCAAATAAGTTGCTTTTGAAATACTTTTCAGAGAAAGTTTGGTGGAATTCTTATAGATGGAGCGCGAGCTTCTTGTCCTTGCTTTGTTATGAGATGGCCAAGGGGTATGTGTGAATGCTCTGCCTTTCATCATACAGTGTTGTCTCCAGTAATCTGCAACTTCCTTGAATGCCCATATTCCACTGACCTTTCTCAGATTGGGAAGTGGGGAACCAGGGAGGGCTCAAAATAAAGGAAAGATGGATAGCATAATAGAAAACTAGCAGTATCGTCCATCAACACCTCCTACAAGAAAATAAACCCCAAACAGAATCAACATAAACTTAAAAGAAGTTCTCAGAAACCTTGAGCATAAAATTTTAAAAAGTGGAAGTTCTGTCCTGGGGAAGGAAACTTCAGAAATTGCAGGGCATATTTTGCAACAGGGTCAGTGCAATTCTGCTGATCTTGGCGTTCCTCACGCTTGCAGAAGCTTTCTCCTTTGTATGGGTCATGTGAGTATTTAAAGTCTTGATTTGCTATTTTAATACAGTGCAATTGTATTACAAGATCACATCATATCTCACAATAAGATTATGTCCACATTATGTTGAGCTGTGATATGATCATATGATATCCATCTGATCTCTACCAGCGCCTGTTAGTGAAGCGTCAAATGAAAGTAAAGCACATTACTTGCTTGGGGAAACAATTTTCCGAATCCAGCAGTACCAGATGTGCATGAATTCATTGCTTCTGACAGATTTCCCATAATTTCAGACAAGGGATTGTTCAGAGAGACTTCTGTGGTAAACTGATGACCCATTGTTCTGGAAGAGGTGTAACGCTGGGTGAGAAAGCTAGGGATTTCTAAGGGAGTTGCTTGCCAGATTCATTATGTTAATCTGTTGGCAAGGAACACCACTTAAGGAGAGGAGAACTTCAGCAGATATCTAAGGAAGCATGATTAGACTGATTCCAAACAAATATGTCTCCAGAGCTGCTACTTCTCCAGAAGATAGAAGGTTCTGATTCTATCCACACTGAGTTTTGGTTCTTCAGGGTGATAAACTTGACTTGAAATGAGACCCAAAGGACTGTTTCCTTAACCCTCTTTCTCTTTTATCGGCTTAGGACTATTTAGATCTTGCAGCTTCCACTCCTTCGGACTCATTGCTTTACGATGATGGACTCTCAGAAGAAGAGATGCCCCTTGTGGATTGTAATAATGCTCCCCTCCCTCGAACCCTCCCTTCCACATGGATTGAAAACAAACTCTATGGTAGAATTTCACATGCATTTACTAGATTCTAGCAACACACAACCCCCAAACCGATTTTCTTCTGCACTGTCCTCACACTCTCTGTAATGCCCTTTAAAGTATTATTTGTTGGAATGAAACCAATCAGAATTTGCTTGGCAAGTCTTTCACCCCCTACCTTTTTTCATTTGTCACTGTCAAGCTCCGCAATAGGCTGTTACTTTAGCCGTCTTTTACAGCTGTGTTAAACAAAAAATTAAAGGATGTGAAAACGTGCAACCTATCCCTATATATCTATATCTGGATATGGATATATAGTCGAATAAAGGAAAGAAAAAATCCTAGAATCAGGGAAGAATTCTCAGGGGAAGTTTAAAAAAAATGCTAGCAATTATCCAATTAAAATTATCCTTTTGTGTCTGTCTGGGGTTGGAAGCATTTAAATCCCATCATTGGTGGTCTCTCTTATTTTCAGCATCACTGTTTTTACTGCTTGAAGGTTTGAGTTTGTCCTCCTCTTTCGCTGTTTAGAGTCCGCTCTTGTTCTGAGTTGGATGGATTCCAGAATCTGAAATGTTGCCTGTATATTTTATGTTTCTGTACAGCCATGCCTGCTTACTGAGTAATGGAGTGTCAGATGGGGCTGGGGAAAAGCTGTAAGAGCCAGCTGAGACTGTAGGAAAGTCAGCGCTGCTGCACAGCTGTTTGGATAGAGAATTGTTGAGGATCACATGAAAGCAACCTTTGCTGTTTTCACATGCTTTTGGTTTTCCATGACAATGTCGGCATCTCAGCCATGTTTTGAATGTGGTTGCAAGTGTCTTAGAAGGAATGTGCTTTAATATTGTGGTGGTGAGATGGACAGTAAAGACGGTTCTTGCCAAAACTCCTACATTTTGGTCTCATAATTAAATGTTGCACATGCCATCAACACCTTTAAATGACTTCAGTCCAAGCCATGCCTTTTTATTTGTCACATTGAGGTCCTGACTTGGTGCTTAACCTCTGAGCCCCCATTCTTAAATTCCTAGTCAGACTCTTAAATAGTTTTTATGCCAAGTTAATCCTGCTTTGAAATCCAGGATTATTTTTTTTTGGTGGGGGGGAATCATGACTCTTTGAACAGTCATGATTAGATTCCCTACAAGATACTTGAATTAGCATTTTATTTGCAAGGGTTGTAGATTTGATGGGATCAAAGGGTTGTCCTGGGGATTAATTTTGTTGGTCGCACAGTCAGCCAGATGTTTAGACTGGATTTGGCATTTTTATCCACCTATCGAGTCCTTCCCAAGGACCTGGGATAGGCAGATGTTGTTTGATGGTGATTATTATTATTATTATTATTATTATTATTATTATTATTATTATTATTATTATTATTA